CTTACACCGCAGCAGAAATACGAACCGCGATGCTCGGACTGCAGACGCAACAGCGGCGATAACTTGACATATCCTCACCGCCGGGACAATTCCTCACGGGAGTTGTTCCCCTGCGCATACCACCTGCGACCGGGCTTCCGCGACGAAAGTGACCGAGCCTACTGCTTCTACTTAGAAGTGGTGAGAGGCAACTTCGACGCATACTGCCATATGACCAGCCGCGACGGAAGCCATCTGTTCCCCCTACTGAGGGACCATGAGCAGATAGAGATCTACGATCTCTATATGCAACGCAGTGGCGCCCGACAACCTGGCTGGAGCAGCACCGGAACTCCGATCCCTCCACTCAGCCAATCGGCCAGAGACAAAAAGGAGGACCGTGACCGGGAACGTCGAGCTCGCCACACGGGCTCTGACCAGTCCTCAGGGCGTGGCCCAACGGCCGCCCCGAGCAATTACGCACACCAGCCACAGCGGCCATCATCAGGCTCTCGATCCCACGGATACGAGATGCCTATACCTATGGAATACAACCGCGGAACCCAGATGACTTAGGTGGTCACCAGATCCAGAGCCGCAACCAGGGCCAAACTGGCCGCCAAAGTCGTAGCCAGCCTGGCCGAGGAGCGCGCCGAACGCACATCACCCGGAAAACGGAGCGAGGCGGAGTCCAGCCTGGTTGTCGCTCAGACCACCGTCGATCAGAACGAAATGTCAGCTCGGTGGCCCATAATATCAGCATCCAAATCCCAATGGAGACAGAGTCCGCACCGCCGTCATCGGACCTAACGGCCCGACAAGACGCAAGCGTCAGCGCCACGGACTTTGATCCCTATAAATATGCCGAGGACCAAGGCATCAATATCCGACCACTTCCCCACCGGGAGGTGACGGATTACATCATGAGAGCCATCCCATACCCTAGGGACAGATGGGCTCAAGTGGACGCCATGGTCCAAAACTTGCAAACCTTCGTCACCCGGTCCGGACTCGAAATGGAGATGCAGAAAAAGGAGTGGCCCCGTGACTTTAGCATGGCGGAACACACTGAAAACCGTGAGGGCTACCCCATGGTCCGCGACAATGCTCTATCGAGCATTACGGACGTAAACTTACTCGGACAGCCCGTCACCAGACCGGACTGGAACGACCTGTGCCAACTGCACATTAAGGACGACCAACTCGATGTCGTCAAATACCTGGCTCAGTTTGTCCTACCGGACGCAAACGCCAGTTTTATCATCGCAGCTTGCAGAGCTGCCATAGACATCCCATGCAAACCGGCCGACCATCGGGATGATCCAGAGAAACAAACTTATTCCTATAACGGCACGATGATACGCATCCTTGCCGCCAGACTTGGACACCTACGGTGTCACTGGGAACTGGAAGTTGCCTACCGGCAAGGGAAAATCGTCCCTCGGCTGTTGACCCAAGTGGCTCTCCTGGGAAACCAGATCCACGAGATTGAAGCGGGAGTCAAAATTCAAAGCGCCCTGAACATTTACAGGAACCGCTCTAAAGATTACCGCTATAAACAGCCATCGGACTTCGATGACGGTGCGGAAGCGTTCGTTAACCGAACGGCGACCAGGAAACTTCCAACGAAGTTCCGTACTCAACGATCCTCAACAGGATCGTCCGCACACGTCCAAACCCAGGCCACACAACCTGGCCAAGAAGCTCAGCCGACCAGCACCTCCAGCCAACAACAAGCAAACCAGACCGAACAGGAGTTGGCGGACATGGAGGAAAGCGTCATCGACCCACTCAACCCCGGGTTGGGCGATGGCGACCAAGCGGGACAAGGAGGGCAGGGATAGGCCAACGGCCATTCCTGCATGTTGGCCCTAAACAGGGACCAACATTAGCTGGATCGGACGTGAACACCATAAGGGGTGCAATCCAACGGTTGTCACCCTCGCCCAACAAACGTGGCTTACGGCCACGTATCGTCTACCTTACCGGACCTAAATCCCTGGATCTTAACCGGATTCCCTGGATAGGCTCTGGCTTAGCGGCTGGGACCATGAATTTGGCTCGGCCATCCCAGACCATCCGACGGAGTCCACCGGACCGAACTTGGCACAACGCCTAAGTTCACCGGCACGGAAAGGATCCAGCGCCCAGAATGTGGCGACGGCCCGCATAGAAGTTGCGTCAAGCCGTGGATCAGCCTGGCCCGCATACAAGTTGCGACAAGCCAAGGCCAAGTCCTGGCCCATAGAAATTGGACCAGGCCCACTATGCGTCTAACCGACCATAGTTGGCTCACGAGTCTAGTTGCCACACCAGGCGATTGGGACAAGTGAGTTCGGGAGCCACATAGAAGTTGTGGTATACCCATTTTGCATGCCATGTCCAACATCCTCACCACGGACCGCCCAGAGGCCCATCTAAAAGATGCACCGCCCCGAGGCCAAACGAGGATGCTTCTAGTCAGCAGACCGACTCCTTTGTGGAAAACGCCTACCGGCGCCCACAACTTAATTTTTTTGGAGTTTGGCCTGGCCAACCTGATGTTTTCGTCAGACGCCACTTAATTTTGTTATGGCCACGGTCTCAGGGAAACCTACCTGACTCATCGGACATGGTAGCCAACTCATGGCCCACGGCCAGTGAGACGGACCAACTTTGGCCCGCCATCAACTTTGGACCGTCGAAAAAACGACTAAGTCCTTTTGGCCCGCCATACACCTTGGACCGTCGAAAAAACGACTAAGTCCTTTTGGCCCGCCATACACCTTGGACCGTCGAAAAAACGACTAAGTCCATTTGGCCCGCCATCAACCGCGGACAGTCGAAAAATCGACTAAGTCTTTTGGCCCGTCCAACGACGTGGCCCACCGAAAATTTTCTAAGTCTTTTGGCCCGTCCAACGACGTGGCCACTGGAAAATCGACTAAGTCTTTTGGCCCGTCCAATGACGTGGCACATCAAAAAACGACTAAGTCCACAACGGAGAGCCAAAACCGGTTATGCAGGACCCACTCCCCTCCAAAGGCTGCAATCAAGGCCAAACCATTCCAGAACCCTGTATCCCGGTCCAGAGCATGTCAGAGACCGAGTTTGGACCGCCCCAACGGGTTTGGCCCATTACACCACTTGGTCCTCGGACTTAGAAATTTTTTCATTATGGCCCTCCTGGACTTAGAAGATTTTTGGACCTAGGTGCATGACCAAACAGGCATGCAAGGCCAAAACCGGTCCAAGTTAGAGACCCATATGGGCCATCCAAACGGAATTGGTCCAAGCACACCATTTTGGATAGCAGGAGCACCCCTCCCGCTCAGAGGCATCATTTAAAAGCCTTTATGACCACCCTAACGGGTTTGGTCCATTTCACCACAGGAGCACCTCTCCTGTCCAGAGATATCACTCTGGCCCATCATGGACCGCCCAACCGGGCTTGGTCCACCACACTTTAACAAGGAAGGGGACAACTTGTCCTTGCGCATGCAACCGTGCCTTCCTCATACAACTCCGCTGGAATTACTTCACTGGACCCCTGTGGACATCTCTGGGAACCGTCGCCCCGGATTCACAGGACCAGACATATCCTACCGGATAAAGCGGACCGTTGACTAGGACCCCTGTGGACAAAAGCGGCCCTGTGGTATACCTAGTCGGAATAAGCCTTTTGTTTCGTCTAGTTTTTTAACCAAACCTGGTTTTTCTAGACTTTAATAACCAAAGATGATGTTTTTATTTAGCCATTTAACCAAAGGAATTGGCTTTGGGATCTCTAACTATGATCTTACTTTCTTTAATTCTCACCGGAATTGTGATCTTTTTATTTCGATGTTTAACCTACGAGCCTTATAAACTTTATTTTTTTTACTTGTTCGACCAACCAAGCCTTCAACCACACTGGAACCCCCAGCAACCAGAGTGCACTCCAGATTTCGGCCGTTCGGTGCACTGCACCGCGGGTCTGGAGGAAGCGACCCTACCGGGTTTAGAGACAAAGTGGCATCCGGCCCTACCGGGTATCGGATCCTGGCACCCTACCGGGTTGGCCAGGGGCAGAGTCGGAAGGTGCTCGCAGGAGCTCCCACTCCCGCCCAGAGGCATGTCAGAGACCGCTCACTCGAGGCGGTAGACACCTCTCGTGGCTTTGCTCTGTCGCCCGCCCGCACATGGCTACTCCATTCGTGCCGCGCTATTACGCTGCTTACTCAGCGTATACTTTGTCTACGCTGACCAATCAGCGCATTTCTCTGCACTCTTGGGGGTGGAGCCCTGCGCCTACGGGCGATTCCATGCTTTGCCGCATCAGCTGTTGCATACCCGCAGCACGCGGAATCATTAATCACGATTCCTCACGAGCGCACTGCAGGCACTTTTTCCAGCTTTTTCCCGCATTGGGTTTTCTGTTGGTTTTGTGTGTTGTTGCTTTATTGTTATCACAATAAAGGCTATATTTGCCCCACTTCTTCCTGCTTCTGTGTCTGATCTGACAGCTGATACTAAAAAATTCCTATAAATCCGGCTGCGACCTCAGGGTTCTACAAAATAGCATTCAGCATAAAATTAATAAAGTTAATGGAAGATGCTATAGTTAATGCGATCCGTAATGTCCCGTACCACTACTGTAAACCAGTAAGCGAGAAAATTGTTTATTGCTAATGTGGGCACTCGGCATACATGGTGACAACCGCGAAAAGATACCACATTAGCCGGATTATGAAAAACAATTACAGGTACCTCCTGTTTTGTTGCGTCGACAGAAAAATTAATCAATAAGGCGGACTGGAAGAAGAGCAACCAATAACTGACTACAAAGAAAAACGTTGCGGACGCAAAGGTTTTTATGTGATATACGAGCTTGCAGATGTCCTCAGGATGGTTCAGTTACAACGTGATCGAGTGTGTGCATATTTGCATTCGTGAATAAAGTTTATAGCTACCAGGATCCAGGAGAATGGCGGCCGCCGTGTAATTAGGTGTAATCCCACAAAGCACGTTAGAGTATTTCTCTGTGTTTATCCGGCACTGCTTGTGAGCGGAAACACGTACTGAGTAAGCCTTGTGCTCCACCATTTTCAGCATCAATTATACTTCTATCCTTTCCACTGGCGCTTATGCATTACTCGCTTGCTGCGTTACAAAGCCAGAATACTTAAAATTTGCGAAGAGATTTGTCTGTTGTTCGGTTTGCGTATTTCCAACTGTCTTGTAAGATGAGGCGTAGACACACATGCCACGGTCACTGTCATCAGTATGCCCGAAATGATGGCATGGTCGGAGTGGGAATTCCCAGCATCGTGCTGGGGCTGGCCGCTGTTTCACTGAATGTTTTTGCGCTTGGAAGTGAGTACCTATATTATAAATATTCTACTTCACGAGATTTATTCTGTCGATTTATTCTGTATTCGAGATTTATTCTGTTGCAAGTAGTAATCGACCATGTGTTTGACTGCGCTGCAAAACCCTGTATGGTTTACAATGCTTGTTCGAGCTTGTATACATGTACGGATTAGGACAATTAACTGTACAGTACTCGGTAAATACATACGTCCATGTCCTCGTAATAATTTAATTTGCTGTTGGCTGTTGGTCATTTAATCAAACCAGCCACGCAAGTCTCTCAAGTGAAACGAGCAGAACCTTACTGCTAAAAGTAATTTCTGCGTGTTTGTAATATTTGCAGGTATTTTAAAGGCAAATTAAAAGTTAATTCGGTTGGAATACGTTAATACTCAAATCGAGCGAACTATTGCAGCTTCCGCTAACAAACCTCTGGGTTCATTTCAGTGTTGTGGCGCTTACCACATCCCATTAGTGCCCTGCCCCACGCATCAAATCTTATGGCAGCGACGACTATGGTCATAGGCGGTTACAATTTCTTGGACGGGGGATTTCGCCAACGTATGTATACGTCTACAATTCCAACGGCTGTCGCGTGCCTGGGTTACGGCATCTATCATCTCTCCCAATACGCTGCCGCTGGAAAATGTGCTGCTATGCAGATTCTGGTGGCATGCAAGCAGTGCTGCCAAAACTGCAACTTTTCCTGCAGCGAAGATCTCAACATCTTGATAAGCCATGTCTTCATGCTCATCCTGGGGATCCACATGGTCATCGGCACCACATGGCTGATCGCCTGCTTTGTGAATTTTCTGGTGAGCACATACCAAAAAATTAAGAAATCTACAGCTAAAATTACGTTGGTTTCCAAAATACCTGTAATGTGAGAGCGTGACCTTTAACAGGATGTAAAGAAACAGCGTCGAGGCGAAAAGGGAAACGCTCTTCAGGAGAGAGGATGTGATTGCGCAAATCCATAAGGCGGGCAGTGAACACCGAGCAAGGAACAACCCTAGCGACCTTACTTCTGTGCAGCGGCTGCGGAATTTAGGATGCGTTAATGGAAGACATGGATATCTTTCGATAGTTTAACTGTTACCGGCAGTAAATCTTTTCATTCGCATGATGTGACGCATTGTTGACTTTTCTTCTACATTAAATGGAATTTATAAATGCTGTTAAATAACAGTACGTTTCCGCTTGCATACTTACAAGCACATACTCGTAAGTGTATAATTTGTCCCCGTACTTATAAGTGCATAATCTGTTTCGTATGCTGTTGCATGATATCAGATTTATATAGATTTTTTATCAGATTCATATGCTGGTTTTCGCAACGAATTTTTCAGCTGCAGTGGTAATTTATGATCGCGCTTGTCGTTTGCCACAAAAACATAACAAATCGCTGTAATAGGTATATGCACACAATGCAATCTTTTCGAAGGCTCCGCACACCACGTTTAACCACCGAAGGCTCCGCACACCACATTTCACAGCGACCAGGCTGTGCAGTGAGCACACCACTTTTTATTATTTTTTAATTTTTTCACAAAAACCACCGAAATCTCCTGACACTACCAAGGACAAAGTGCGCACCACCAGAGTCTCTGGACACCAGTATATTGAAAAAAATAGTTTACGGGTATCACGGGCGGAAAAAAACAGCTCTTTTGTATCGCGGTCTGGCTCCTATTTTTTGATGTCACTCGTGTGCCTCCGCTTCCGGATCCGCTATGGTTAACGAATCCTTCGGTTTTACTCGGCCAGGACGGTGTGCGTTTTTGTACACGCTTCGAATGATGTTATTAGCTAATCTTTCAAGGTTTTTCCAGAAAGCTATAAGCTGTCCCAATATAAGGCAACGGAATCGAGTGTGCAGCCTGTGCTCGTATTTATTCGTATATACAATAATACAACCGAACACTGCAGTATGTCTTCGAAACTACGTTTACTGTAAGGTGGTGCCTTGAGACTGCCGATATTTTCATATACATGGTGGTGTCGCGAAAATGGTGGCCCGAGACAGAAAGTGGTGCGAACAGTGGGCTGCGGAGCCTGGTGGTGGTGAAAGGTGGTGTGCGGAGCTTTCTCCACTTCATATACGATAGCAAGACTTTTTGCCTTTTTATCTGGAAGTGCTCGTATGGTCTGTAAAGTGCTGTACGTACTGTACCTGTAACCAGCACTTCCTGACTAGATAGAATATTAGCCACTTCCGGAAAACTCTGTGTCACAAAGAATTTGAAAGCAGCCCGCAACTGACAAGTGTGTTGTTCGATGATTTGTTCTTCGCTATCATTTGCACTTCGTTGGATAAGTTATCATTTATGCGCCACGGGATTCTGCTTTTTTGCCTGATCGCGTCGCGCATGTTTTCCCGATCGTTTCATACTTTCTGGTGTAGTTTTCTTTTGCGCATTTATTTAATAAAAACTCATTAGATTTTTGATTGCGCTGCTGCGAGAAACAACCTACGGAGCGACGGCATCGATGGAATGAGTCATGGTAGTGCTGGAAAAGAGATTAATTCAGCCAGAAATCCAGCAACCACTTTAGGAGCTTGAGATTAAGGTCAGATTAAGGACAACCAAGTGTGCTACAAAAACTGGAATTCAACGGCTACACCAAACCTGTAGAACGCCATGGCGAACAGCATCGTTTTTTCCCCCGAAAAAAGCCAGACACAGTTCTCCAAATTTATTAATAATAACATCTTGATGTCAGTTACCGTAAATGCTGCTTCGCTCTCATCTCACTACGCTGAACGTTAACCATCTCGCTTTTTTAAGGGCAGGAATATGTCACGAAAATATGCGTTATTGTTTAACCGGTTGAAGGTTCGCAGTTCATTAGATTAGCGCATATCCGTGACAGCGTCTCCTGGCTGCGTAATTATCAAGTGCATTTAGACTTCCGGCATTACTTCGGCCGAACGTTCGTGCGGTGATCATTTTCTAATCTACGCCTGTATATTCGCCGCGATGGCCGGGAAAATGGATAACCTCCACAAAGGCTAGAACCAGGAAAGCCCGACCGTAAAAAAAGCAGCAATGAAATATCGAGATTAACGATGGCATAAATGCGTGGTTATTTACGACATGCAGGCATCATTAAAAATATTGTATGACATAATTGAGCATAACTGAGTACAAATTGAACAATAATACAGGCACTATTGATTTCCGTGAAAGGACAGTTTAAGAACTTCTCGTTAAATCACTAGCTTTTGTTTATGGCCGACGCTGTCATTTCCCAGGATTGGTCGGGAATTATGTAGTAAACTGCCAGCAAAACGTCTGACTAATAACTGAAGTCCCATCAACTCTATATTGGACCGATTTCCATTCTTTGTAGCTCGGGTACAGAATTTTGCTCGGATTCCTCGTGAAAACATGCACAGTAACGCTTTACATTTTACCCCAAAAATGAGGCTGGGAGAAGCACGATATCGCCTTGTTAGATGGCAGGATGCATGTCTCTTGGTAGTCAGCAATCTGCTGATCCCAGGAGTGGCCCTTGTCCTCATCATCTTGGGAGCTGCGCGTGAGTATCACGTACAGTAGCATCAGGATAAAAACTGTATTCACCTCAAACCATTTATAAATGTGTGTAATTAGTATTTATGACGGGATTTAAGGTCAAGCTACATAAAAATAATCACTCGTAAGACTTTATATCTCTTACGACTATGTTGATATCGCTTCGATCAGTAATATGCAACAAGTAATTAGGTATCTGTACATATTAACAACAATATTAATATTATTTTATGTTAAAGTTTATACAGTGCAGCGCAATAGCCAGAAACTGTTTATGCCGGTAGCATGCATCACCTTGCCATTAGCGCTTTGTAATTAAAAATTAAGTGAGGTTAATGATATACGTACTGGAACTGGATAGTTGCACAGGAAACACAGAATGTTAACTGCATATTTTATCTGCAGTCTCCACTGGCTGGTCATGGTCGTACCCTGACCTCACCCGTCTGCATTTGCTCCTGTCAGGCTACGCATTCCTCAACTTCAGCATACTCACCCAGGCTTGTAACGTAAAGCTGTACAGCTGGAAATGTGCAAAGCATTTAACTGCCCAGGATCTGCAGAAAGCCGGCTGGTGTTTCTCCTATGCGCTCTGCATCAGCTCTTTCTCCCTCATTAGCGGAGGCTATAACATGTACCACCTCGTATCCTTCCGCGAGTGCATGAATACCCAGGCAGTACCTAACTCAGAAGCGGAGAGCTGCTGCGGTGACCATAACCTCCACCGGGCATACGTCGATTTTGGCGCCCTTTACTTTCTGATTAACGGCATCTACATTGCCAACGCTGTTTTCTCCATTGCTGTGTGTATGCTTATCAAACACAAAAGATGGCGCAGGTCGCAAAAAAAATCACCGTACTTGCACACAGAGATGATGGCTGTACGGAGAAAGACCCGGGGACGAATGACATGGTGGATGGTGAAGACCATGGTGGCCTGCAATGTGGGGACTGTGAAAACGAAATAGCGGCCCATCTAGTTGCGCAGATCGAACAGGAAGTCAAAGCTATGGTCCCTGTACTGGCTAGCGTGCAAGCCACAGCGGCCGAAGTTAAGCATATTCACCATCAGGTAATTCAGCTCGCGGAAGAGCATTCTCAGTTGATCAGACGGATACGCGCTGAGTTCCTGTTGCAATTCGTCGAGAAATTAACGCGGGTTTAAGTTGCCTGTTTTGCCCACTTTTTCTGTGTGGAGTAACTCAAGTAATATTCGAAAGATGGATACTGCGCGATTATATGTAAGCATGAACCGCTTAATTTTCGAAGACAACAATATACTAGCTCGCAAGCATACGTATAAATCGTTGATGTTGTTTTAATCCACGGTGTTTCTGGCTTAGCAATAATAGTTATCAACAATATTGTGTATTAATAATGATATTATCATTATCACAAATGTTATGTATGTGGTGTAGTAGTGTGGCAGTTTATTGCATCATTGCATTGTAACAGAAACTTGTTTGCGGTTGCGTGCTTTTACTTCACGGTTAAATTAATTGCACTACGCAAGGCTTGTTTACAAAAATTATAAAGGAACAGTCATGCGTCCCTTATGTCGGTTCTGAAAAAGTAATGTTCTGCCGTGCGGCAGCAATTTGGACTAAACGAAAACCATAGATTTGCGCAAGCCGAAGTGAGCGTCGGCCGAAGTAAATGGCACCGAAAAACTTTGGCCAAAATGAAAACGGCCGACGTGATCGGTAGCCAATATAAGAATAGCAGAAAAACATCTTTTTGTTTCTTAAATCTTTTTTTAACTTACTTTGAGCTATTGGCCCTTTTTATAATGTAATTTGTAAAATGTATTGTAAAATGTGTAACGTATTGCGTCATTTATAAATTGGGTGATACTTTAGCCACCCCTGACATCCCCGATTATTATATATCGCCAATGCACAAATGTGCATTGTTCACTGTCTTCATGCGCCCATAACTTCTCGACAAGCTTGTACATCTTTTTTAGCATAATAATACTGTATTGGTATGCTGAATTATTGGAAGGAATATGACACCACGTGCTAAACAATAATATTTAGGCTAAAAATTCAAACGTCACCGTTTCCGCTTAAACAATCTGAATATGGATATAATTACAAAAAGAATTATACAACAATACTTCATCACATGTCTTCGCTAAGTACCCCAGCTTCTCAGGATGGCACCGGGCCCGTACGCACAAGGCACAGAAAAATAATATCCACTTATTTATCATCAAAGAACTTAAAAATAATTTATACAAATAGACATCAAAATGGTGTGCCCATAAAACCGCCAACCAGGTGTGCTTATTGAATTAACAACGAAAGGGTGCCTTTAATTAACGAGGTGTGAAAAGGGATGGCCATAGTGATTTCGTTATTAATTTAATTTAATTCTGGTAAAGAGGTTGTACTGAACCTATATCTATATTATGTTCTATTAAACACCTATATCTATATTATGTTCTATTAAACACGTGTAACACATATTATTTTAATACACAATCGTTATCAGTTATCACTAATATCTATATTTTTTTGGCAGTACTCGTACCGAAAGTAATATGCTGGCGCTTTGCTGTACACCGGCATTGGCCTTGCGTAGCGGAAGCAGTTGTTCCGGTATACGATAGTGCTACGTCTGCAAGGCTGCTCTAGTCGTATGCCCCTAACCAGAAGATGTCTCGGGTCGATGATATTCCTGGTAAATAAGTACTTTAGAAAGCTGTTTTCTACATGATTATCAAGGAAGTAGTTTTCTGCGTACATGTCATGCACTATGCCGTTTGAACTGCTTTCGTTGAACATTATTTTAGATTCTTGCTGTACACAGCAAACTTTTGTTTAAGAGAGTTGCATACTGCAGTATTTATACCGGTAACTGCAGTCTGTAAACTACCCATGCACGACGTTAACCATAATTATTATCCTTCGCTGTCTCTACTCTACCGGTAGATGTTAGAGTTCCCTGTTGAAACAGAAAATTGGATTACCGGTACGGCACTCTTTTTCAATTTTCCAACTGATCATTGTTAGTTGTTATTATTTATCCTCATTTGCTAATAGATTTCAAAACAAGACGGAAACCGAAGGTACGGCTTAAGTTTTTAGGGATTTAGCAGTTTACACTGCATTAAAGGATGCCCGACCAAGTGCGTATACCTACAAACAAAGCGGCCGCGTTTTTCTGCAAATTTTGTTTTCATTTTGTTGTTCTTGATAAATTTTGTAGTAATACTCCGATAATTTCTGAAGTTAGAACAAGAAACGGTGCGAAACTGATGCCGTCCTTGGCATTTCTTCTGCTCTTATAATGTTGATCCAACGGTGGAGCTGGTATGAAAGTTTAAATGACAGGATTACGGGCATACTCATACAGATAAAAATGAGAACCGACAGCATATATAAATTTCCTTATTGGTTAAAAAAATGCAAGTGAATTTTCTTAACATCGTTGACAGCGTGGTCTCGCTGTTTACTTTGTTGTTTTTACAGGCCAGCCCTCACTTATTTTTGTAAGCTGAGATTTGACGAGTTCCTCGGACTACGTATTGCTGATCTTTACTTTGTTAGTACAATTTTTATTAAGTACAACTGTACAAGTAATAAATACAAGTAATTCTGCCCAAATTTTTGAAAATACGTAATTTACGCCATAGTGTGACGACATCCGGCGTATAAGAAAGTGGAATGGAGCGTTTAGCAGTCGGCAATATCATCACGGGAACAGCAACCTACGTGTTACAGTGGATTGAAGTGTGCAGTAAGCATATACTTATTGGGTTTAACTTTTGGTTTGTGTTCAAGTTTATTTAAAACATGATACTCGTACAAATAGCACAATATTATTAATCCTGATTGCCGAACCTGCAAAATCTTGGCAATAAAATAACTGATGTCTTGCCAAAAAATACTGTGCGGTACATTGTGGACTTCACTGATTTCCCTAATCATATAGTGGTCATTTATTGGTTCGACGGCCCGTTCGCGCAGTACGCGACACTCAGTAATCGGACAGTGTCGACATCAGTTCTTCTATGGGTCACCGGAATCCTGTTCCTCATGTACGCTAGAGTCAATCACATCTGTCAATCCTCGGCGCCGCACCTAACCGAAAGCTTTCGAAATTTCACCCGCACAGCTTTGATTGTCGTGTTCATCGCGAGTGGCACGGGCATTGTCGGATTCGTGGGTGAATACCAGCTTTCAAGACAGTTAGCGTGTGGCAACAACGGTGCATCGGGAACTTTTCGGCTGGTGATAAACGTAATGATTGGTTCCATGTGGCTCGGCAATGGTATCCTTTCGACGATTGGCAGCGTTGTTCTGCTCATACAAACCTTTTGTGAACAACAACGTGCCGCGATAGGAGAAAACGGCCAAAGAATTGTCATGGTTACCGCATATCGGGAAGCGGATACGGAAGCATTTTGCACGATTGATGACCTTAACACTGGCCAGGATTTTGACGCTACACGCATCAAGGAAGAGGGGGAGTGCCGCCGTGAAAGGGTCTGCCGCTACTCGACTTCAACAGAGAACCACGAATCGGGGGAAGTGCACTTACAGGACGAAGACGCCACCGAGACGCTATCGATTCTTCCAAAACCTGCCTGAGTACCCACTGCCCACTGGTCGAACTGCAGTCACTGACCGGAAGACACCAGAAATCGTCCGGTATTCACCGCGTTTTATGAAGTATTGTCCCCATTCTCCCGTCTTTCGTCCCATCAAATACTTTGTTCGATAACGGACGCTTGCTAACTGGACCTTATGGAAAGTTTAAAAATTCTAGTTTTTCATAGTACAATTTCTGCTCATATGTAGACATTCCTACATGTAATCGTTATTCTTCACAAAAAACACGTAGAAGTATTCAATAAAATAAAGCTCCTTACAAGCGTTATTAATTTAGAGTAAATACATCGTTGCAGTGCGCACATTTTTGAACCTCGTTATACTCTGTACGAGTATACCGTGTATGTCATAATTTGTGAATTTTTCTGAGTACAGTACCTTGTAAAATATTGTATTTCCGTCTTCATGTTCTTCATATTTCCGTCCTTCAGAACATTTCGTCGAAATTAGCGTACTTTGTAAAAAAAAATTGTACTTACTTACTGTGCTTGTAAAAGCGGTTCGTATTTTGAACATCAGGCATATCGAAAACCACAATTTTCATATAATAATTATTCTACAATGTCTGACAATGAGTAATCGCGTACATTATCGCAGTTTTGCCGCATTCCATGCAACTATTTTACGAGATAACTCTGAATAAGTTTGCTGTTTGTTTTTACTAGAAAACGCTCCAGACGCCCGATTCATCATGGTACAATCTTAGCCCAGCTGAAAAAATAGGAGCAAAGAAACTTATGTATATCGAGTACGTATACACAATGGAGTCACGGTAGACATGTTCAAGTAATACAGTACGGCTACACTGCATCGACAAAGCTTTTGTTGAATTCAAACAGTCAGAAGTATGCTTGGCTGCCTTGGCACACAGATTAGTAAGCACTAGCATGCTTAGCACAGCTCCAACATACCTTGGCCATAATAATATTGTGCACTTTGGTCATACCGATACATATGGTCCCTTTTGTAACATGGTTCCGGTAGTCCCTAACATTAAAAATTTAAAATTAACCCTTGTCGCGTAAGAGTCGATGCGAATACTGTCACGCTGTCTGCTTGTTGTATGGAGCAGCCACCCGGCATTTTTTTAGCCTTCGCCAATATTGTCACGGGATCGTTAACCTACGCTTTAGGATTGGTTGGAGTTTGCAGTAAGCATGGTTAATTCTTTTTCTTTTCGGCTTATGCCCAGATTTTTTTGGTGTACGTATATTACGAATAATGATGATGCTTGTTGGCCGAAACTGTCAAATCTGAAAAATCTAAACCTTTGCAAAATCATTTATTAATTAGGTAATCATTAATGATACTAAATCAAACTGATATCTTCAATAATTAACTATTGTCCATAAGAAGTCTACAGTACGGGATGTACGGCATATTCCTGGTTAATGTTTTTGGAAAACATGTTGTGTTGCTTAACCATGCAGTGTCGACTTCTTGATCCGAGCTGCTCTCCCATTCCGTGGTGCTCTGTAATCTGACGGCGCCGACATCGGGTCATATATGGGTTACCGGATTCCTGCTACATCTGTACGTCCGACTGAACCATGTCTACCAGTCCTGTGTGCCGCATCCAACCGTAAGCACCGTCAACATCACTCGTGCAGTTTTGTTTGTCGTGTTTCACGCGAATATCGCTGCCTTTGGTGGTTCCATGGGTGAATAGCTGATTGCCGTGGGAGCACATAACGGAAACTGCACATTGTACCCCTGGTCCCCTGAAATAATGTTAACGATGCATCGGAAGGTCATCGCCTGCGTACGTGGTAGTGATTCATGCAGCACTCGGATGTCTGTGGTTCGGCAATGCTGTCTTCTCAACGGCTGGCAGAGTGTTTCTCTTCATTCGAACCTTTTCTCAACAACAACAATTTCAACTTTATTCCCCTCGGAAAACGAATCCAGACGTTGTTCACCCGGCTGATGACCATAGCACCGGCAAGGAGATTTGTGCAGCGCGTTTACCGGAAGAAATGCAGTGTTTCGGAAAAGGGTTTGCCGATACCCGACTTCAGCAAGAACCGATTCGGACCGGTGGAAAATGCACTGGCAGGAAGATAATCCGTAGTTTTAACACCTGCTTAAGATCAGAATTTCCGCACTGCTGACCCAACAGCAGCCATGGACCGGAAGCTACTCCATACCGGGAAATATCCGCGTTCACAGCGTGTTTAGTGTTGTGACTTGTGATTATTATGGTGTCGTTTCAACACTATTCCTAATGCTTTCGCCATATTACGGACATTTGGTGGTAACTTCGTTTTATTTCCATAACAGTTCATGATAAATTTGATAATATTGCTTCCTGCATCTTAATCTATAACGGTAAACAATATGCGTTCATATTATATTCTGTAAACAGATGTTGCTATTTTAATAATAAATTACAGCGTGCAAATAATTGTATGTACACCCCACCAAGCATATTCGTTTAATAAACACAACAGCAACAAGAACGACTGATTTAGACATACTTGTGCTACGCTGAAAAAATGAATTCTAAACTGCGTTTATCAAGCATATCAAGATGAAGGAGCATACATTCCAAAGCCTGAGTAATCCACTATATTAGCACAATTTTACTGCTTTGAACTGCCGCCCTATATATTTCTGGATAGGATTGCATGTTTTCATAATATTATATGAACATGAAATTTCCACTGATGTGGCAAGACTACAGGAAAACAGTCGTCCTTATGATCATAGTGGTACTGGTCACATTTAGGTGGTAAAAATTTAATCAGTTGCCCCAAGTCGCACCAGATGGGACGTGCAATACAATACAGCAATTACTGGGAGAACGCCATAAATATCAGCTAATCATTGCTCGCAGTCTGCACTTATGTCATAAGAACACAGGCATTAAAACACAAGTGCAGAGGATATCCAATCACAGTGTCATCTCTTGCTGTAAATATGGGTTCCGGAATGATGTGTCTGTCAGAAGACAATCAGACCTTCACGGGTATACTAATATTGCATAGATGGTATGTCTGAGAATTAAAATAACACAACAACTGATCCTTGCTGGGTGCGCTCATCAGTCCTTGTCCGGTACACTGCTTTGCATCACTGCGCGTTGTTAATTCGTAGATTACCAGCAGATACGTCAACAATACTCCAAACACCTGCAGCCAGTACGCAGTTGACGGGAACCGATTCAAACCAGTAAACAAAAATTAAAAGTATTATCTTCAGTGTTTGAAACTTCAGATTACTCCGCGCTTCCAGTTTCCATGTACAGAGTGCGTTATATTATGATGACCGCAAATACTGTACTACGCGCATTAGGCGGGGTAATGGGATATGCTCTCTACTCTATAATTTTACCGGTAATTTTTATCAGAACCTAGTCAACCTACCGTTAAAATGAAACTCGTATCCAGTACTAGAAATTTCCACGCAGTAAAGCCGACAGGATTATCACGAAGACGTTGAACGGTTGTATTTGTAACACTTCCAATCAAGTCTTTATCTTCCGGGAATGTTTCTGCGCACTGATGATAAAGTCCCACAATAGCGTGCGCCTTTAAATAACGAATTAGTAGTCCCATTAATACCTTCTTCATTGAATTATAAATTATTGACAAAATTACTTAAGCAAGTATAATTAAGCAAGCAAGAAAATGTATGAACGATTTGTTTCCTCTGTAGTTAATAAATATCTAAATGGGTTGGGAAAAGGTCACTATGTGTATACGTAAACGCTAAAAGGTTATAAGTTAAAATAAATCCTGAAGCTTCGTTTCTGTTAGTTCTCAAAACACTTACCTGATTTTTTGTATAACTCGCAGCAACAATGCGACAAAAAACAGAATAAAATTCGCCATCGCACTAACGATAAGCAAAGCGAGGTCCTCTACATTCTTCGTAGCAAACGTTCCCAGAGGTATTTCCAGTGTGCCGTTCATGGAAACGCCGATCATTAAAGTGATGGACAGAATATCGAATCCGGTTTGAATCAGCAGTACCGGCGAGAATACATTATCCAGTTTTTCCAGTATCACCGACAATGTCCAATGGCTCCTGCGAGACTGAGCCAGTTCCCTCAAGAATGTCTGCTGTTTGATGTGACCTTGTTCTCTCTCCTCAATGGCTCTACAAATTTGTTTGTTGTTCTCGCAGAATGCCAACCCGATAATAACCGCTACGAACTGAAAAGCATACGTGAAACTGCATTGTCCCGAAGCCGCCACAGACAGAGGGAGCAGTTGGAAAACAACAGAATGTACCCGTACGTTCATCGCGTACTGCAGAAAAGAAGCCGTATCCGAGGGAAACCTTTGCACTGTATGGAACCCGAAAGCCGTGAACGCGGACACGATAACGGTTATAAACTGAAGACATATCATAAACATCAACTTTCGGCGCTTCTTTATGGGAAATTCGTAAGATGACAAAATTTTCTTAAGGTCATCGATGTGACCGCCCAACGGTTTGGTAAGGACCGGCAGCAGTATAAGCAAGATAATTCCACACACTGAGAACTGCAAATACATCGCGGCCACCATAATCGTGGGCATCTTGTCAGTCGTGGTAAAGGAGGCAATGGTCTTCCAAAACGTGTCAACTATCCCCACAATACCGGCAACCATGGGGACACTCATGATTACACCAGAAATTAAGACCAGAAAAGAAATGCTCCCAGTGCCGTTCTCCGTAAACCAGGGATAAAATCCATTTTTGCGAAGGAATCTTGCGAACAGCTTGTTCCAGTAGCGTGAAAACCATTCGGACGTGGTGTCCACTGACTTTTTTGGCGTGGCCATAATTTTAAAAGCCATGTTTGGACTTTGGTCCGTGCAGACAAATTTAAAAAAATATGATGACGATTGGCGAATGCTGTCTTTCAATAGTTAGCTGAACTACAGCAGCATATATCTTGACTGCGACTGTACAGTTTCGATTATTTTTGGTACACCTAAGCATTAAACTCTTTGAATCATTTGGTGTTGGATGTTGCAGGAGAATATTTACCTAGGACCCCTCAAAGCCAGGAGGAAGGTCAGAAAAGTCTTACCTCAGCATCCCTGGGAATTAATGCATCGGATGCACTCATATGACGCGGTACCGGTGGCAGCAGCGCAATAACGCGTACTTACGAGCTACGATACTAGCAGTAATCCAAAATTCTATCATTATATATGGAATGTCTGTCTTGTTAAAGACAGTACAGCGTACTTGAATTAATTAATGTTGTAACGGTCGGAGCGCATATTTTTGCTATCGTAACTAAAGGAAACTTACTTATTTCAATGCAGCCAGTCGCGTTACTTTGAATGTCTGGTAATTTTGTTGTGTCACAATGAATTCCTACTCCTGCGCTTAACTATGTGTATACGAGTACCAAACATTTCACTATTACTAGTACGTGTTTCATGTTTATTTCGGTCTTTCTGCAAATGATCGCACAGATCGGTAAAGATAGAATTACCACAGTTACCGAACACAAAACGGAAAACCATACTGCTTATCTGTACGTGTACACTAAATATAATACTGATAATATTTCCGGCAACTTAACTATACATTGCATTTTCTCTGCCTGCAACAAGAAAACGGCATTTTCGTAATATCTGTACCGATAATCGCTTGTTACTGCGTATAGTATGCATTTCCTGTTAATTAAATAACTGCGCATCACTAGTTATTAACTAAAGCTGTAACAAATACTGGAACGATTGGGTAACATGGTAACGGTATTATTTCCAGAAGTCGGTTTGTAGATACACTGGTGGGCATCGGTGTGTGACGTCATTTCGTAGATTACAAGGAGGTACGTCAGCAGGATCCCAAACACCTGAAAAATGTATGTACAAATGTATAAAAACATTAGTTTCGACACGTGTATATGCGCATGTCTCGAGAACGTAACGGTGGTGTTAGTTACCGTTAACGGTAACTTAGTTAACGGTAACTAACATTGCGTAACGTTACGCAATTTTAAGTATGTACAGAAATGCATGTTGTATGTATTTTAAGTATGTCTGTACTTGCAGAAAGCTATACCGTCAGGATAAAGTTGGTATCCAGGACAAGCAACCTCCATGCGGTGAATCCCACAGGACTATCCCGTAAGCGTTGTATCGTAGTAAACGCAATATCTTTTATATTGTGCTTTTCGTCCGGAAAAACTTCCATACATTGATGGTAAAGTTGGACAATCGAATGTGCCTGCCATCATCCAACCAAATATAGAACTTTATCCACAACTTGAAAAGGGAACCAAAGAAGGATACATACCTGGTTGGTAGTGTAACTTGCGATCACCATTCTGCTGAAGAACAGCACAAAATTGGCCAGTGCACACATCACCATAAAAACGAGATCTTCGATGTTGGTTGTTGCGAACGGTCCCAAGGGTACTTCCAGTTTCCCGCCCATCGCCACTCCAATAAGCAATGCAATAGCGATGATGTCAAAGCCGGTTTGCACCAGTAAAATCGGTGCAAACACTTCATCCATTTTCTCGACAATCTCCGACAATCGCCAGTGTTGCACGCGGGATTGTGATAACTCCCGCAAGAACGTTTGACCTTTGATATCACCTTTCTTCATATCTTCTATGAGTTTGACGACAGCTTTGTTGTTTTCGCGAAACGAAAACCCAATTGTCCCGGCAACGTATAAAAAACTGTACGTAAACGCCGACTGACCGGCCGCCGCCCACAATAACGGTAACATTTGGAAGACAGTAACGTATAATTTAACATTCATCGGGTACCGCAAAAAGTACACCGTGGAACTGGGGAACTCTTGCTCAAAGATGTGAAAGTAGAATACCAATATAAGTGATGACAAAACCGTGAAAAACTGCAATGCCATCACGGTCAGCAAGCGGCGTCGTCGTTTCAGTGGAATTTCAAAAGTCATGAGGACTTGTTTGAGATCTTCGACGTAGCCGTTAAGAGGTCGCGTCAAACGCGGCAAAAGTACGAGTAGAACGATTGCGCAGACAGCGAACTGTAGGAATAATGCCGTTACCATAATTACCGGCATTTTTTCGCCTTTGTCCATGGTGAAAATTGTCTTAAAAAATGTGTCCACCAAGGCCACGGTACTCAAGACCATGGGAACAGCCATCAGTATCCCAGATAAGCAGACAGCGACCGAGAAGGTCTGCTTGCCGGCATCGTTCTTCCACGGATAGAAACCGCTCTTACGCAATAAGAACGAGAATACACGATCCCAGTCGCGCGTAAACCACACGCTGGTCTGGCTGGTTTTCAGTGCTTCCAACGACATTTCGCAATTTTATCGGTACGTGTTTTTAAACACAAACAGCAGAACGCTATATTTTGCTGGTAGATTCATGCGTGATGCTGTTTTATATAAGACTGTGCTTCGGTCGGAAACATGCACAAGTAATATTACGACAATAGATATTACGATGAATACGTACCTGTACAGCTGTGTGAGGGTACACCTTGGCTCCAAGTAAATTTCATTCTTATAACCTAGTACGAGCCAACTCTGTACTTGTGCTTTGATTTCCCTATGGAGCTTACAGTTTGGTTTTACCGCTATCGCAAGCGTTTTGCCTTATGTCGACCTTCTGCGTGCAGTTTGTGGATTACGCAATCACCCTAAGCGGCTCGTCGTAACATCACCTGGATGATGTGCGAGTAAAAACGTTTCCGGTTTGTATAAAGGCAAACATTTATTAATCAATGCGCATTCCTATAAGTTTTGCCTTTCCAAATCTTGAAATCATTTTTTTAATCAGTGCATGCATACGTGGTATAGAAGATGCTGTAATTGTTCCGATATATTTGTAAAATTACTTACGTAACGTCAACGTGCTAAAGGTGCGCACTATGCATACTTTTTAATATTTAATGGTGATAAGGTAATCTTAAATATCTGTTTCGTTAATATTTATTTCGCTCAAGGTTGACGATCATAACAAAGTACAAAAACTTGTTAGAAAGTTACTAAACACTGCTGTTTTGTTGCTTAAGGTTTAACATGTATCAACTAAGAACAAGGACGAGCAGCAACATTTTTAAGCCAGACATCACCAGTCACACAGATTGTAAATATTGGGATGTATCTGTGACCATATACTCATGCGTTCCGCTTTCAGGCTGAGCACGAAACTGTCGTAAGTGTCCTCGTATGCGTGATCGATGGGGGAAAAGCCACAGAACTGCTCCAGCCACATTACCTGATCACCTCTGTGCACGAGATCCGTAAAGATGTTCCCATCGCCAAAGTATCCAGTCACGGTGCTTGCCATAATCAGGAGCACACAAAGGTCAACAATACTGTGACGCATTTTGCAAACAGGCCGAAGGTTTGTAGTAGCGCAGATTAAGAAAAAATATCCAATGGCAGTAGTACAACTAGGACAAAGGGGTCAGATCACGTTAGTACGTCCAGTCAAAAATTAGTAAAAGATTGGATAAAACAGTAAACACTTCTTCAGCACATGTAAGTTGTTTCTTTGGCTAAACTTGAACGCTTTCGTTATTGTGAATTTTCATTGTGAAAATTGCTTAGAAACAGTTACAAAAAGAAAAGAACACTCATACGTACTACGCACAAGAGCGCATTAGCGCGGATAAGTTCGCTATCCATATGTAAAAATTATTTTACATGAAGTACAGTCTGTAGAAAATATCAAAGATTTATTATAAACATCTGTAGGAGAATTACTAAATTCAATCAGAAAAATCCATGCGTCATCAATCATCACAACTTTATTTAATTAAATAAGTGGAGGTAATTACAAAATTTGTATAAAGCATCACAAATCACCGGCGAAGAATCAGTTGACAGGAGAAAATCAGCAGAACCAGTACAAACTCACCCAAAACATCTAAGCAAAGTTAACGGCACTTGAAAATTGGAGAAAATTTGACATCACTAAAAGACTCCATAAACAGCATTATTTCTCGCAGCCGTACCCACCGCCCCCGGGCGTCAGCAAACGGAAACAGTCGCCAGGCTGAACCGGAACGGAATTCTTCGCGCCAATATTCACCGTGTAGCCTTCAACGCGCTCCAGGATGTTCTGACCGGAAGCTCCTGGCTCGCCGCCTACAATTTAGGGAAAAATCAATGCCGACCTGAACATAACACTGCATACATCAGGAGACATTTCAAAAAAGACGCAATGGACGCTTCAAAAGAGCGCAAAATTATTGTACTTCGTTTACCTTTCCCTCTGATAATATTAAATACTCGTAAGTACGCCACAGTAAATAATCTGCTATACCATAATTCCTATTATTTTATAAGCAAAGAAAATTGGCGTACTGATTTATTTCATTCCCTGATTTATTTAATGATGAAATAAATTAATTTATTTCATTTTGCTTTCTTGCTGTCTCATTTATATAATTTCAAATATGCCACACTAGTTACTCAACAGAAAAGCTTCAAAAAAGCTAATAATATGTTATTACACTTTTTACATTTTGCGCGCTATTTGTAAAAATGTTTAAATTCGAAAACATCGAACGAACCTTTCAGTCCGTAAGGCTGGAAGACTCTCCTCTCCGATAAGATGGACAAGGTCATATCCGCCCGGAACACCAGCTCCCGTACCACTCCGTCGCCGCCGTTAAACTGCCCTTTTCCACCCGTCTCCTTATTCAAGCAGAAGGTGCGCAGCAGAATCGGGTAGCGCTTCTCCAGGATCTCTGGATCCGTGATGCGGGTGTTGGTCATGTGGGTGTGCTTGCCGGAGGCTCCGTGCCACGTGGGTCCCGCACCCGCTCCGCCGGCCACCGTCTCGTAATACCCGAATTTCTCGTTGCCGAAGGTGATGTTGTTCATACAGCCTTGAGAGGCGGCGCACTTCTGGAAGGCTTTCAGGATCACGTCCACCACACGCTGCGACGTTAGCACATTTCCGCCTGCAAAGTACACGATTTGTCGTTGGCGCTGTGTTGTTTATTTACTTGCACTTTTTGTCGCGTCGAGGCGGATCTGGCCGATATGTTCGATGAAAATTACGAACAAAATCATACCAAAAACAGTTACAATCTGTAAACATAAAATTTCCTCCCAGAAAGAGGAAACTGCAGATAAAAATAATTCAGTAAAAATTTAGTTTAATCGGGCCGGTACAAAAAATGGCAGCCAGGTAACAGCAGCAGTCAAGTAAAACGAAAAGTTTGTGTATTATTACTACAAAAATATCACATTATAGCCTGCTGCAAAATGGCAATCGTATTACAGTCAATCGGTTCATTTCAAGAGCTAGCACACGCAGGACTCATGAGCGTTAGCCTTACTGTCGTTGTTCTACGAAACCTTGCACTTTAATAAAGCGTGCCTAGCATTAATAAACCGCAATGTACTGCAATGCGTGACAAAAAGCATCCAGATAATGCATTTTTGTGAGTGCTGCCGGTTCCTATACAATCTGAGTATAAATAAAACCTGACCACACAAAATAAGAATACTACCGCTAAAATCTTCTACGCTTAACCTCGAGCAAAAGTTTTCATTTTTATTAAGAATACTTCTTTTAAAAAACCTAAGAACTGTCCATAAAAGCATAAAAACTGCGCACAACAGGAGCTAGGTAACCATTACGTGCAGTACACTGACCGACAACAGCCGCATTTTCATGGGGATCCAGCAGAGAATGCTTGGGAATAACGATCTTCACCGGCTGCAGACATCCCTGATTCAGCGGGATCTCGTATTCCACCATACAGCGCAGCGTGTAGATAATGGCCGACAGGGTGATGGCGCGCGGGGCGTTCAGATTGCCCCACACATGCGGCGAGGTGCCCTCGAAATTCCACTCCGACTGCCCGGAATCCTTATCAATGCTAATAGTCAGCCGGATGGCGCTGCCGTCATCCATGCGGTCTTCAGCGTATAAACGAGTGGAGCCGGTGTCCTTCTCGGCCTGCTGTGCCACTTGCCGCAGCAGATCGCGAACCGCGTTTTCGGCTTGACTCTGAATATACTGCATGTAGGCTTGCACCACCGGAAGTGTGTACTCTTTGATTAATCCCAAAACTATAATACCATTTCCGAATCAATAATATTTCGAATCAATAATATACATAATAATATAATAACATTTCCGAATCTTTTCTTTGCAGGATACCTTCAGTTTATCGACGCGCTTGGTGATCTCCGCAAAGTTCTCCTGGGTGAAGGCCTGCCCGTAGGGCTCCGTTTCATCGCTGACCACATCGGCCAGCGCCATCCCGTACGCCGATAAAATACTGCTGTATTTGTGGACGAAAACGCGACTGATGCCCAAGGAACGGGCCTCATCACAGGCGTGCTGACCACCGGCGCCGCCGAAACACGAGAGGACGTGGTTAGAGGGGTCGAAGCCGCGCGCTTGGGTGAGGTTGCGGATCGGACGGGACATGGCTTCGTTGGCGACGGCCACGAAGCCTTCCGCGATTTCTTCCACTGACCGTGATTCTGAAAGTATAAAATATTAATTACTACAGGAAAACAAAATACAGAGTACGTATACTACACTTTTTTACAGACATCTTTGCACCATATATAATATAATTCCCGTTTTATTCATGGTTTATCGCGCTTCGAAAAACGAAACACCGATAGAAAAGATTCAATTTTTTTAAAGTATTTTAAGTTCCCATTTTCGAATTTAGTGCCTTATCGGTAAATGTTAAACCCTTCAGACGATAGTTTACCCGCAGCCAAAGCACTACGATTTGACATACGTCTACATCACTCTCTTGCCAGCGGTTTGATGTATATTTTATTTCTCAATATCTATATGTACAAACTACAAAGTGAGCTTCGCTCAACAGTTATACTCAAATGAAGAATTTGTCCCAATTTGATCATAATTCGTGCGATTGTTTTATCAATCACTGCAAATAATTTTTCTAAGCGATTGCTTAGTCTTTCTTAATAATTAACAAATGTTACAGTATTCGTTTTCGTAGTGAGCATAGTACTTACTGCAAGATTATGTCACCAAAAAGTGTCAGGCATGCGCCCGGATTTTACATGTACTGCACGTACCTTGCTTTCCCTGCTGCGATGTGAACTGGCTAACGGTTTTGGCCAATTCTTCAAACGATTGTCGTGAGCGGAAATGTCCAACGGCTCGTTGCGTTTCTCTCCAAAAATATGCGGAAAATATTCGGGAAGCAGCCGACCAAGGACAGCGTTAGCATCGGTAATCGTCAGTGGGCCACCACGTTTATAGCACGCTGGTCCAGGATTGGCACCTACGCAACCGGAAGTCATAAGCCGAACGAATATTTTAACCTATATTACGCTGCAACCAATACAAACTTAACGAAAAAATCCCACAGATAATAATTAACAATAATAATAAAATTACAGATTACTTATTATTTGCTTCATAATAATAATTATTTATAACACATAAATTGGTTATTTATATTAAGAATAAATTACCAGCAGAATCCGGTCCGACAACGAACAGACCGGACCGGAAGAACAGCTGCGAACCACCTCCGGCGGCCACCGTGTTGATGTCCAACTGCGGTGTCTGGATACTGATGCCGGACACACTGCTCTCGAATGTATGATCGTAATCCCCCGCGTAACGGCTGACATCTGTACTGGTGCCGCCCATATCGTAGCCAATCAGCGGTTTCTTCTCCATGGCATCGTAACCCGTGGACGCAAAGCCCACCACTCCACCCGCTGGACCGGAAACGATAGCCTAAACGAGCAGTCAACTCTCAGCTGAGAAGACGACAGCATGCCGGCAAGTTGCAACAAGGAGTGACAACAAAACATAAGCGTCAACAAAAAATATAACCACTACCAACAGAAAGGAAATTTCAAAAACAAAATAAAAATTATAAAGCGAGAGCTGGAAAATCAGATTTGATTAACATTACTGTAAATGAACCATTACTGTAAATGAATGCCAGTCACGAATAAACATACAAACCTGGTCATATTCTCATTTAATGACTCGTACTACGATTTTCACTTCTCCCCATACGACGCCATTATAAATATGTTTGTAATTTTGTATCCTCAAATTAAACTCTCCGATATTTCGCAATGTGCTATAAAATAGCGCATATTTATAGCAATAAATTAAAAAAATTTCCGAACTTAATAGTGTTAACATTATTGTCGATTTTTGGAATACTTCGATTGGAACCGTCAATGGATCACTTATACTTTACGGTGCAGCTATCGGATCACTGCAACCCACGCTATCAGATCACGTCACATGGGGGGGCTGGTGTTCGGTTAGCTTAACCACACAATACGCAGATTCAGACATTCGGGTATCTTCCAACGCCTATGTAGGTTTTTTGTGCATTATGCGCAGTAGATACGACTGGTAACGTGTGTCATCACGATCCGGAGCTTATCTACGCTCCGAATGGTCAAAACAACCATACCGCACGTATTCGAGATACCGCGCTGCACAGCTCCGTTTTTCAACATACCCGTTCTTATCTCTATGAATCATAACTTATGCACCATAATGCGCTGCACTGGCCGTATACCAGCCCACAGAGAAAGATGTCTGATTTTTCGTAATAAAAAGTGTTGTTCAGCTAACCGATCACCAACCATTACATACTTGCTGCTCTGATATCGAGTGCTGAGTGATCGGATAGCTGCACCATATTATTATAGTGATCATATGACGGATTTAATCGAAGTACATCAGATGGAAGGATCATTGCAAACTGCATCGGTACGAGTATATGAGCAACTTACCTGTGATCCGATAAAATTCTCCATAGGCGTCAATCCCCCATCCGACCGCATAAACAGCACATGCACCCCTTTCAAATTATCCTTAAACCCGCCGGCAAAACTCTGCAGATACCGCTGAATACACGGCGTCAGGTAGGCATCAGCGCACACCGTCTGTCCGCGCGGCACAATGCGGATCATGGGCATGACCTCGTGCGACAGACTGACATTCGTGAAGCCCAGATGCCGCGCACAATCCGCAATCTTCTTCTCGTGCTGCTGCAGTGTATACGCATGCATCAGCACCACGGCCAGACTCTTGATCCCCTTGGCCAGCACCGCCTTCAACTGCTCCTCCAACTTCGGCCAGTTAATCGGTGTCAACACTTCGAAGGTGTCCCCGGAGACGCCCTGGACGGTCACCAGTTTCTTGGGTTTCGGCAGGCGGTCGTCGTCGCGCTGCATGATGACGCGCTCCTGTACTTCGATGATCTCCTTGTACAGGAGCTCCGGACGAGCGATGGACAGGTCGAAGATGCGGGGACGCTGCTGCGTGCCGATCTCCAGGAGATCCCGGAAGCCCTGGGTGATCACCAGGGCCATGGGTTCGCCTTTGCGCTCCAGGAGGGCGTTGGTGGCCACCGTGGTGCCCATGCGGATCCAGGCGATGCGCGAGGTGTCCACCGGCTATCGCGCGGATGGAGGGTGCCGGTTTCCTGCAGACACATCACAGAATCAACCAACATCTTCCTGTACGGTGTCCATCGCGTATTTTCGGGAAAAAAAACAGATGAACGTTGCAAGCAGTTGTTGAAAATCAAGCACGTAAATCAGAAATAAGAACACAGGCCTGGTAGGGAAGAATCGACATTTTCCAGGGAATTTACAGTAACATTTATAATATGATTACATGTATTGCAACTTTCATTAATTTCCAGGAAGACATAGTAAAAAATGACATTTTAAAGGTGGAAAAACGAGTCCTTGCGACACTCATAAAGTTAACAATTCGGTGCCATTATTACGACGCGGACAGCATGCCATGCATGCAAGTGATGCAACAATAAATAACATTACCGAAACCGAAGCGCTCGAACTTCTTGCCACTGCTCTACATTTTTATACCACACATTATGTGATTATGACAAATATGAAATAGCGTACCTGTTGAACAGGAAATTAGAAACGAAAGATAAGTACACCTAACAACAATAAATCAGCCGAGCAGCAAGGCCAGAAAATCTGATCCACAGTGAAACAAAGAATGATGCCTATTTTCAAACGAGAGTCTGAGTATGTCCATCTATTCAAAAATATTTAAAACCACAATGTTTTGGCTACTAGGCTGCTTGTGCGAGCACGTGTTCAAAAACTAGTAACAAGCTGCCACTCAGCACATACGGTAATTATTCTCTGCACCACTTATACAGATACACGTACCTACCACATGTGCTGCAACTCTATCTGCACAGCTTGCAATTCCCGCCATCACCAACATTAAACCGACAAATTCCATGCAGTACAGTAAGTACCTCTTCCAGAATGCGTCGAATAGCTTCGCGGGGGGCATCCGCATAGCTGGGATCTTCGGACAGCAGCTTCATCACTCGCACCTTCTTATTCGGGCATAACGCAAAAACGTCTGCAAGACTGCAAGAGTTCCCAACTTGGCCAAAACTTGAAGTTGAGCTATTCAGCTTTCATAACGTATTTTATATGTACGGTGTAAGTACTTACGTAATCAGTATAAAATTTCACTAAATCAATACGATATGAGGATGCCTTAAACTCTTATTACTTAGTCTTATAAGTTTTATTGTTAAAATGCCATATCCCTCTTTACGGTGTTTACGGTTTACCTGTGAAAGTTCCACCGCGATCAATGGCAAAACGGAATTTATTCTGTTCAGTAGGATCGTTCATTTTAGACATTGCAACAATTGTAATCAAAGTCTGATTGTCAAATTTCGATGATGTTATGTTTCGATGCCATCTGCACAAGCATAACACCTGCAAACTGCAAATTTTTCAGTTCTCCAGCTTCAATCAGATGGTTCGACATGAAATTTAATCCATCGTACAAATCAGTTATGGAGCTTCAGAACGCAGAGAAATAATTGCCGATCACCCTTTTCATGCATCGAATTCACAAGCAGCAATCGTTGGTTAAAAACGTCTTCCCACCAAGAACTGAAAAACAGAAAAAGTTGTGATAATCAGATAATTTCTCACATGTCACGCTGAAAAATGGGTAAAATATTGTGACAGGTGGATTTAATATTGCTCGCGACTTCGATGGCTTCCGGTTTGAAGGCGCCCGCCCACGTACGGCGTGTTGCAGCTAGAGCCCTGCACGAGCCGAGCTGCTCGGCTCGGCTCACGAGCGCTCGGTGCTCGCGAGCGCTTCGAGCGAGTAGGCGCCGTTTTTCGTTTTTGCGAACGAGCTGAGCAGCAGGAAAAAATCAGCGAGCGAGCTGAGCGAGCAGAATAGTCGGATGCGAGCGATCCCGAGCTGACCGCCTCATATTGTGCGAACCGAAGTTACTACTACAAGAAATTGCATAAACCGGGCTCTAAATTCCTTAATCCACCGTCAGCTTCGCGCTTCGCGCGACAAAGTTTTCATTGTGTTTTCTGTAACCACGAGGCTAGCGACAGCCTGGTACTAACGTGGAAAGACGATCTCACGGTTCTTTTTATGGTATCGGTATCATTCCTAATGCATCCTAGACAAGGTTGGAGATGTTGAGTTTTTCGAAACTTTCAAGCCATTAAAATGGAATCTTATTTCAAATCTATGACACTCAGGTTGCAAAAAAAGTCGCCATAAAATAGGGCCCCGGTTTGTAGGTTAAATAGAAGTCATAGACCGGAAAGTGTTTTTAGCGGAAAAGCAAATTTTGGTCAACGCTAGTCGCGCACAAAAACAAATTTTGGTTTATGTGAAATTTTTTTGTCGATCTTACGAGCGAGCTGATCTTAGACCATAAGAAATACGAGCGAGCTGAGCGAGCGGGAATAAAGAAAAATTGAAAAACGAGCGAGCTGAGCGAGCAGAGGTTTGAGCGCGAGCGAGCCGAGCGAGCAGGAAATTTTAAAAAGCTCAAATGAGCGAGTCGAGCAGCACTTTTGCTGCTCGTGCAGGGCTCTAGTTGCAGCAGCAGAATGGTGTGGGAAACTACTGTACCAGATGTTGCTGCGTCGGCAGACTCGGCACTGGCAGGCGGCTTTGCTTGACACATTTGAATCACCTGGTATGAGTAGAAATAAGCAGATTTTCCTGTTTTTGACTGCTTTCGGCTTTCCCACTTTTATTAGCGGGTTTTCCACTGCAAAGATCTAAGGAATTCCGACATCTGCGTTGTTATTTATTAATAATTTTGAGAGGATCATCGACTATCGTCATCATGTTTCTTTTCCCAGTTGGGACAAAGTGCAGCGTAAGTTCGAGCATGTAGTACAACATATTGCATAGGCAGCATAGCGGCATAGCCTTTAAAAATCTGTTGGAATGAAATCAACCAAAGATCCGTAAGTTTCTGCCAGAAAGCGCCTTACATGCAAACACTTACAATACTGCAGGATGTGCATTGGGGTAAGGTTTTTGTATTCATGATTCAACGAATGGTAAGTTGACTTATACAGGAAATCCAGTGTATTTCTGAACCATGCATCCAGCATTGGCGCGATGGGGGTGATGGCATCCCGCAGCAAATACACTCTCCCGGATCTGCCCTACGATTACAATGCCCTGGAACCGGTGATTTCGGGGGAGATTATGAAGCTGCACCACCAGAAACACCATGCCACCTATGTACAGAATCTGAATGCGGCGGAGGAAAAAGCCACCACAGCGCTGCAGAAAGGTAAACAACACGGCTTCTGAACAAGAACTGAAGAAAAATGTACTGTTGCTGTATTACCAGCTTCTTTCAGTTTTTGAATTAGTGGAAATGCTTAAATAATTTTTATGATTTATAACCACAAGATAAAACGTTTTGGACATCGCATTTAAATTGCATTGCAGATAGATACATGTGTTATTGCAATTTTAATTGCAAATAGCCAAATACTACTCTAGTTTTGTTATATGTACACCGCAGTAAATTATAATTATAGCGAAGCCAAATAAATTTTCTTGAGATTTAGATGCTGTTTTCCTGAGTACGGTAGTACCGATCCGCTGACAAATTTGCAACGCGGCGGATTATAAAGAGCCAAAAACATACGCAGTGTAATTTTATGCATTTTTTATTGTGCTTTTTTTACTTAATTTGTTAAATTTCGCAGGTGATTTATAAACGGCCATCGAGGTTCAAGGCGCTCTGAAATTCAACGGCGATGGCCACATTATTCACCGTATTTTCTGGAAGAATCTCGCGCCTGTCAGTCAAGGAGTGCTGCTAGAAGCAACCGGAAGGTAAATGGGTTTTTTTCTGTAGGCCTTTTTGGTTGATTGCTTTACTGAACACTCTCGCATATCCTCATCAAATGAAAGAACACCAGATATGCTACGAGGAGACTGTGAAGATCTGATGGCTGGATGTGGCTAAATGTTTATCTTCACTGCATCGGATTACGGTGATGAAATAAATGTATTTTTGCAAAACGTTTATCTGTACATAAAAACCTTCTATAAAAAATCAGAGTTAATTTAAAATTATTGGTTGCGAATTACACCGACAAAATTTTCGTGCCTTGCTCCGAGAACGTCTTTTTCATGTCTTTGCATTGAAGATTGAAAGTACTAGTACATACCACTCGGCACTCGTACTGTCGTACAATACATATGCCGTTTTGCATTTCGCAAGTATTAGGTAATTTCTGAATTCTGTTATTGAAAAAAAATTTTAAAAGCATATGTGTGCACCATTAAAACAACAGCGCTGTTGTGTTTAAATGGCAAGTACATATTCCGCAAGTAACAGTCACAACTATTGGCTGTATTACTGAAAAAAAAACTTCTTCGCTGCGAAATATTTTTCGGTTGGTTTTAGGTGATCTTGCCGCTGCCATTAAACGGGATTTCGGAGATGTTGAGTCGACGAAGAAGAAGCTGAGCGAAAAGGCGACAGCCGTACAAGGATCGGGATGGGCATGGCTGGGATATTGTCCGAAAATGAAGCGCCTGGCCATTGCACAGTGCGCCAACCAGGATCCACTGGAACCCACTCTCGGTAAGCTAAAAAAATGATAAATTTTACAAAGTTAAATTTTAAAACTTTTAAATTAACTTGTAAAAATATTCTTCCTCTACTGCACTAATTGTAATTGCTGCACTTATCCGTACACTGACTGTGAGTTACAAAACAATTAAATGCTTAGACTGCAAGTTTTAGAAAGAACTTTAGTATAAGATACGTACTGTACTAATTTTAAGTACTGAGAGAAGTGTTTTACATTTCGTTTTTATTAATTCGTGAATAATTTTCCGTTGCGTCTCGCCCGTTAATGATTTAGTCGTTTTGTTTGTACAACTTCTCCGTCCATTCTTGTCGAAATTTGTGTTCTATTTTATCGTGGGGAAATGCGCGCAGTGATGGGATTTTTCTTTATTTTAACGCGAACGCATGCGAACAGTACAGTCATATATTTTTTGCTACTCTTAATAAAGCTGCATGGAGATTGACTTGCGAGTTGCGGCAATTCTGTCAACTGGATCTTACAGGTTTGGTTCCCTTGCTGGGCATCGATGTATGGGAGCATGCCTATTATCTACAGTACAAGAATGTTCGCGCTGACTATGTGAAGGAGATCCGGAAGATTGTCAACTGGAAGGATGTCGCTGAGCGGTTCGGACAGGCTGCCGCTGGCAAATAATTCTGATTTAGTGTGCAGTTCCATTGTTTGATTGGTTTAATTAAACCGCTGTGGCTGATAATGGCTTAAATCCGTAGTACTTTCCTTCCACATAATGAGTGGCATAAACATGCTGGTCACCACTGGTCAAATACTAATAAATCTGCACCTTTTTCGGGTATCGGTATGACTGTATCCATCGTAATTCGTGCAGGATATGAATATTTCGGGTGTTGATTGTCATGTGCGATATTGCGAGATGCAGAATTTGATCTACCGGTTAGTAAGTACAGTAACAGAATCCAGAGTATGAGTGTTGCAGCTAAAAAGGAAAAAGATAGTGTTCTTGCTGCAAGTTCTGCTATTCCGTTCACTGAAGAGTAATAATTGTTACACTCCCACAATCGACATATAAATATTATTTTTTTTTCGTGTGCATTGGATTAAACCAGAGTTTTTGAAACGAAAAGCTGCTGTAACTTATGGTGTACCAATCGCGCAGACGTTTTGCAAACAAATAATAAAAAAAGAAATGCTTTTTAATTTCCAATCAAATGTTACAAACAATGTTTTTTTTTACAGACAAATGCTTTTATTTACAACCAAATGTTTTTCACTTCCAAGCAAATGTTTTGATCAAATCTATGTAAGTACAGTACGAGTATGCACACCGACATACAGTACTGTAGCACGACTGTATGTACGAGAAAGCATACCGGCACATGCATGGTATTTCACGGCCAGACCGCCAATTAAGTACGGTCACTGCCAGTGTTGGCTAACTTTTACGGGTCGGAGCCGACTACGGAAAACGGGTCCGGTTTGAGCTTTCCAACGGGACGGGCCGGGACGTGAACCGCCATACTAAGTCTATGGCAGATATACGGGCCGGGATTTAACGGGAGACGGTCCCGTTCTGGCTAGTTTACGGGACGGAAACGGGCCGGGAGCCGAAGTTGTAAGACGGGCCAACACTGGTCACTGCTATCGAGTCACGAATCTTGCATTGTCGGACAAACCCAGACTGCCACTAGCACCGATCGACGCTTCGGGTCAGTGGCATTTTGCTGTAGGCTGGTTTTTTACCATGCTCCAGCATTTTCGATCTCATTCATCATTTTTTGAGATGCTTCCGTTTTAGGACTTTTAGCCATAATAACGGATATTCCGGTTATTTACAATATTTTAATATCTTTACCACCGTACTTTGACAGAACAGCCTGTGTTCAGTGTGGATTTACTAGCCGATCGCTTTTATCACATGCCGAAGCTGAATAATCGTGGATTCTCATTTGATAAATAGCCTGCGTGCTTTCTGTAAGTTCGATGGCGGCTTCCTATGATCCTTTAACGTGCTGACTGATTGTAATTTTTTGTTGCCCGAGGAGCAGATTTCCCTTTTTCCCTTTTGTAGAGCGAAGTTCAGCTAACGGTATCTCTGCAGGGAGTTGAAGATTGAGCGAGACTAATATTATCGGAAAATGGTCAAATTGGCAGTGAACGTAATCACATTCTTACCATCCAAAAACGATCCTCGTACAACATCCGGTCTGCGTGGTCGCCGTGGTGGTCCCAAAATGTTTGATATTTGGGTATCGAATAAGATGCACTTCACGGAGAAGTTTACTGTGGATTTTCAGTACCCTGAATTCCTGGACTACCCAGACGGTGTTGCTGATTGTGAGCGATATGGTGTCACGCGTATTGTAAGTGCATACCGCCATGATAAACTGTTAAGGGACGGTCTAAAAATCACGTGCGCAGATTTTCGGAAAAATTTTGACCCTATTCTCTAATATCCGACATATTCCACTTATGGTGCTGTCACTGCTGTGACATTATTGGCACCCTTCCGTCCCTGGTTTATTGCGTACGTAATATATGGACTGCTCCTAGAAGCGCGTTAAAGGCCGATTCCCAGTTTTCCCTGGTAATACTAACAATAAGACTAGTCATCAATTTTTTTCTTGCAGCCGGCATACGTTGTATGCCATCGCCAGACAGAGGCTGTCCTGGGGATCAGATTTTTTAAGGAGAATGACTCCGGATCCACGGTGCAAGATGCTTTGGGGGATATTTTGAAACAATTCGCGGAACCGGCACACTATGCAACCGGTAAACTGCTGACATGAATTCCAAACGTTCCAGAATTCTTTCCGCAGCATCTTAGAATCATTTTCATGCTTGGTGGTTGTAGGTTCGCAGAAACCAACGCTGGACGCTAAGCAACTGTGTCTCTTTAGCAACCGCTTTTGTCCACACGCTGAACGGGCTCGTTTGACGCTGAACATAAAAAAAATCCCGTAAGTGTGCGCATATTACTCGTATAACTGAATTGTAATACACGTAATTATTAGTGAATGCTAAAGTAACTTATGTACCTTGTACATATGAATGTATGTATTGGAAATGTTAGGTATATTATTTTTTTAAATAATTTCGGATACTTCTATTTGTTTCTTGAACAGTGGCATGCAGGTACTATACTGTACCCACTCATTGTTTTACACTTTCTCCCGCATATTTTCAATTCTCATCAGTACAGTAATGCTTTCTGTTTTGTGTACTAATATTCCGTCACATGGCAGCAAATTTATATAAAATTTATATTACTAGTCATACGTAGCACTAGAAAATGTTATTTTCGTATTAATGTTGTTATTTCGTTGCGGATTTCCAAGAATGCCGGCGTGTTGGACTGATGTTTTTGTTTAGTTATTGTTATCGCTGCAGATACGAAATTGTGAACATCAACCTGACGGAGAAGCCGGAATGGTACATGGCCCATCACAACCCACTGGGCAAGGTGCCGACGCTGCACGAGCCCGGGAAGCCGCAACCGGTCTTCGAGTCGCTGATTGTCGCCGAGTATGTCGATGAGCATTTCCCCAATGAGCCGAAACTGTTGCCGAAAGATGAATACGAAAAGGCTCGTCAGAAGGTGGCTATCGAAGTCATTACTCAAAAGGTATCATTCTAACGAATGATGAATAAACTTTTCTGTTTTAAAACATTTGCCGTATCGAAAGAAATTCTTTGTGAATGATTATCAGCATTAGAAAATTAATTCTTGCTATTGTAACTCACTTTTATAAACATCTCGTTGAATACTATTTTTTCTAGTGAACTTCCTGACTGAAATTTTACGGTTAATCTATTCGTCGTGCTTTTACGTTATTACAGAGTATTCTGTAATCTGTATAATATCGTGGTGTACAGAGTATACTGTATAGGTATGCGAACTTTTTCCGTCGACAGAACTTGAATGCGACATTATTGCGCCGGCATATCTTCCTCCGTTTTTCAGGTTATTTAATTATTATTTCGATTTATTTGATCTGTGTTATAGTTTATCAACAATTTGAACGCGGTTGGCGCTAAGGGTGACAAAGAGAAAGTCGAGGAGCTGAAAAAGGGCCTGAAAGAAGTGGAGGAATCATTGACTGGTCAATATTTCGCAGGTAAGCGTTGTGAACGTATCTGTGAGCACTGTTCCCGTTCGAGTTGCATCCTGTTCTTTCATTTCTATCGTATATTCACAGATTTATTCTGATCTTATTTTTGCGCGATTTACCTTTTAATTTTTAGACTTTCAGATTCTTTTAATTTTTTAGATAAACAGTTCTGTTGACTTTTCAGTTTTCTTGTACTGTACGTCGGTTTTGATGAGCCAATAACTGAATTGATTTCTGTCCCAAAAATAAATAAATAAATGAATCTATAATATCTGAGTATTAGTTTACATGGATTAATTTCTGTTGGTTGAATTAGATTCTCATGCATGTACACGTTACATTCAAGTTATTCGTTCCCAGTTTTTGTCGTTCTATAACTTCGTTGTTATCTGCAGGCGACAAGATGGGTTTCGTGGACGTGATGATTTGGCCGTGGTTCGAACGTATCGCGCCGGTGTGTGAAGTGCGCAGTGTCGATCTGAAGATGGAGCGCGACTATCCTAAACTGCACGCCTGGATGCAGAAGATGCTGAAGGAGCCGGCCATCGCCGACATCGTCTTTCCGTCGGAAATCATGGTGCCGTTCATCAAGAGCGCCTACGTGGATGGCAAAGCTAACTACGATATCGGATTGTAAACGGCACATCGGCATCTCATTGTCTCCGCTCTCTGTTTATCGCTGCTTGCCTGTCGTTCATTTTCGAAGGATAATAACGGGAGTTTTCTCATAACTGGTGATGGATCTTGCGGTTGTGCGCTTTGTCTGACGTCTCATAGTTTTTGTTAACTGTTCGGATTTTTATTATGTAAGCGCAGACAGTCTGTATGCTGTATGCTCTGGCAGCTATGCTAACAATGAGAAGGTTTTAATATGTTTTTGAGGTTTCGGTTTGCCATTTAGATTGTGTGGCTCTCTGCTTAAGAAAATTCCATAATTGATTTAACCCATTTTCTTGAGGTGTATGTTGTATGGAGTCAAAGTGTTGAATTAAAGCGCATTAACAACGGTGCTGTGGAATTACTTACTTACTTTTTGTACAAGTATTTTTGTTTGGTAGTGCTTAAGATACATCGTAATGAATTTTCTGTAGAAGGTCTCAACAAACACTGGGCATAAAGATACAGCTAACATAACGACGACAACGCAGAAAAGTGAATGTTTTACGCATTTTAAAATTATTGATTCGTTGTACTGTCAGTTTCTGAATTTCTGAAAATTACTGAATAGTTGTTGTCATCAATTTCACAATCTTCGATACTTTCTGCAATTTATCCCAATAAATAATATTAATATTTCGTTTGCATTTTTATTAGTCGATATAACTCGTATAGGTAAGTAGCTCTGTGCTGTAATAGTAGCTCTACTCGTAGTAGACTAGTACCGTATCGTAATTCGTATGTACTCTAGAGTAGTATTTCTTAATTATTATCCTGAAATGCTAGAGTACATACGATACGACATAGCATACTTTCATAATTTTAATAATTAAGCAGCGAAAGTCACAATCGAACAAAATAATATACTCGTATCAGTCGTATGCAGTATTATTGTACGCAGTTCCTTATTTGACTGAGAATATTATCGATCAATAAGCATATACATATTCGTATTGAAATTTAATATAAAATATTTACTATAAAATATTCACAGCACGTAATACATTCACTGACGCATTCGTACGGTTTAAATACTCGTAATCAGGCCCGTCTTTAAGAGGGGTGGAGCACTGGCGCGCCCCACCCCAAACCGGAGCGGAAGTTTTTGAAAAAATTGAGCCGGCGCAAAAACTGGCGCAGATGCAAGAAAATCGGACTGGCGCAAGGGGCGCACCGAAATTTTCAAAGAAAATCGTAGAAAATGGCTTAAAAAACGAGGAAAATCATAGAAAAGTGGGAGCCACTTTTCTACGATTTTTCTCAAATTTTCTGCCATTTTTCAATTGGCGCAGCTGGCGTAAAGTCGTGCGCCACCCCCTTCCAAAAGCTGAAGACGGGCCTGCTCGTAATTACCGGTACTCGCATAAAGGTTTCTCTGATACAGCAGGTGCTTATTTACTGTACCCTTTACATTGCGTTCTTATTATGTGCAACGGATTTCACTTATTTTAAGACAGATTACAGTACACCTATTCTTATCTACTGTATTTCACATTTTGATATTCGCATAATATTCGTCATAGAACAAATTTGCAAAATCGTTCTATAGTCTGTGCATAAGCTCCAGGTTTGGATTGTTATATCCCTGTACGGTGTGACTCTGTTAAGTATGGTGCTTATGGAAGCCGTTCCATGCCAACCTACAACTTCTTCAATCGTTATCCGCAACAATCAACATGATTGGGAATTTGGGATGTGGACTCGTACAGTCCCTTTATGTACCAACTGCAGCGGACACTGCGCGGTTATATGATGCCATCGCCAAAAATGGTTGCTCCTGTTTGCACCCGATCGCGAGCGACATACACTGTAATCAGGTTTTTTTTATGCAGGTTTTTAATAATGTGGCATTCTGCTTTTGCGACGATATTTCATCTTTCAAAGTTAGTATTAGAATACTGGAGTTAGAGTTATAAGAAATGTAAATGATTTCCGAAGCAAATAAAGACGTTTGCTGCTATGTATAAGATATTTACGTGTGAAGAAAATATAGATAATTATAATGTATCTGATTTATTCGTAGAGCAGGTACGAAGTAAATACACTCGTAGAGCAGGTGCTAAGTACTTAATTACTACAGTAGTATTCTGAACTAGTTGTACGCACACTATGTACATGCATAACTCATAATATGACAGACTGCCAGTAAAGGTCATCCATGAACATCTGCTCGTGGATGACCTTTATGGCTTTATCTAGAGGCCATTCACTATCACCGTACATATCTAATCGACCGGAGCGAAGCGAAGGTCCTCTATGTTCAAGGAAACTGGAATTTTGTCTGTCCGTCGGTCACGTACTAATCTGTCCGTCGGTCACATAAATAAAAAAGATTATATAAATATAAATAAAAACGTAATATATTAAAAAAATTATAGCATTTAGTGTATGAATTTCAACTGTATAGAAAACATAAAGTAAGACTCTATAGGTACAAGAATACGGCGTTTTTGTCTGTCTGTCGGTCATGCAGTATTGTTCCCTTCGGTCTCGCACGAAACCACTGAAAATCCAGAACTTAATACTGTGGGTACTTAATTTGAGTATTATCATGGGTTGTTGTTATAGACATACGGTATAACTGTACTTCATAGAATAAAAATCAATAATAATTTATAAGAAGAAACGTAAAGGTCACGTTTACTGGCATTACTGACTACATCGTACATCGACTCCTAAATTCCTTTTTAAAATTATCAAGTATTCAAGGATAGCGAAAAGCGATAGGGTCAAAGGGCGATCAACAAGCAGAGCAGACAGGACGATTCTGCAGGTGTGATTCAGACTTTCTCCAGTTCAAACAAAGTACAAAAACTCTCGAAGCTCGAAGTCACAACGAAAATGCCCTAACGCAACCGAAAATGCTGGTAGCAAAAATACGGGCGCAGCACAGTGGTGGCAGTGGTGCGGCAAAAGGCAATAAAGCTCTTATATCATGAATAATCCCCGTAAATTCGTAACTACGGCAACATGAACAAATTTCGCTGCTAGGATAAGTACAGAAAATTACGATGGTATCCAGCTGTTTCAGAATTCCGCTTACCCAGTACTTCGTTGAAGGCATGCACCGGTTAAGGCAGGCTTTACACATTAAGATAAGTGCGAGATACACATACTCGTATGCGAACCTGGAACTTATTTTGTACTTACTTTCGAAGCAAATAAGGTATTTTAGACAGCTACCGTCAGAACCGGGTTCGTATCCAGAATAGTAAGCAACAATCCCAAAGGAATACTACCAGCTATGTCTATTTCTAAATTTTTAGCTACTTTGTATGTCTATTTCTAAAACCCTAAAGAAGCCTAAACATAATGTGCGAACCAGGTAACTTTAACCCTCAAATCCATAGCGACAGAACCCGTGAAAACGGTAAGAAGGTTAAGTATACAACAGGGAATTTCAGAAGATGTCTGGTGAATGTAAAGGTTACTGCCTTCCAACCGTTAATAATGTTCTCGTATATTCTGTGCGGCTGCAGGTCAGTTGGCAATGTGGAATTCAGATAGTTTAATTGGCAAAAGCAGCTGCTAAACTTATGATTTCCCTTAATTACTTTCGTATTACAAATTTTCTCAGATACGGCCTATATGATAGCTGTATGGGTTACGAAAACATATCATACATGATTTTAGTGAAACCGACGCATTCCAATTTTAATATTTATTGGAAGTCTTGTCTCTGGTGATTTGACCACTGTCCAGTAGCATAAATTTTTAAGCGCTAGCCCAGTTTAGAATTTTCTTCAAATCAGAATTTCCTTTTATTACTCAGGTTTTTCATGAAAAAATACTCTGAAAACATTACGCATTCTTTTAGAAAAACCTTAGGGTGCTCTCAGATTTGAAGCGAATCTCCTGCGATACAGCGACCCACTTCGCGAAGTGTCTTCGGGGTGGCCACTGCTTACAGCCATCTCGTGCGCCGGTTGATCAACCATACCATAGCGAAAATTCGCTTCGAAACTGAGACCCACCCCTAATTTTGTAAGAATCGTGCAACTGACCAGTGTCCTTGCACATCTGCGAGAGGCTTAGACTAAATTTTAAAGCCCCGCCCTCTTGCGCTATATCCATGCGATGGCGAAATACTGTTTCTCTCGTTTTCTGTCTAGAAAGTTTTGCGAAGATCTGTGTGCCAGAGAGAACATCGTACGTTGCAACCTTCAAACAGACAAAAATAATTGGCAAACGAACGACGAGTCAGTAACGGCGAAAGCATCAAAGCTGTTAACGGTTAGTAGTCATTGTCTGCATCCTTAAAAGTTTCATCTATCGCCGCTAAAGTTAGTCTGTTTAAAGCAGGGATGTTCAGCTTTCTGAGATCCAGTGTATCCCATCGTTGCAGGCTTCCATCCAAGTGAAATCCGCTGAATCTGTTAGAAAATAACTGGCATTAATGCTTCGAAGTGTAACCGCAATCAGCTACAACATTCTTAGCAGCTGTTACCGTATATAGCCTTGTCGACGCTGTCGCCCTACAGGAGCAAAGTTCGATTCAGTCTGTACTCCTGTAGAGCGGCAGTAACAACAGTTAACGTTAACAGTTTCTTTAGTACTGTATACGGGGGGATACGGAAATTAGCGTTTACGAGGGCACCGATATCTAAACTTCGGCTGTAGCAATAGCGAAGACTGGAGTAACAATCGCATAGTGTGCCCGTGACACTATACGTAAGAGGCTTTGGTAATTCTACGGCCGCAGGTTGTTCAAATGGCCTGAAAATCAGTACACCGTTTTCCGCAACCCGTTTAGTACAATACAATCGAATCTCTGGACGACGAGTATGAGACTATGAGCATGAGACTATCTTGACTATTACGTAGGCGCTACACGGTTGAAACCAGCAAGCATAATATGATAATTATGTATAATTATGGCAGACGAAGTTTGAAGTAATAGTCGTAGTAGTTAAATATAGTGTAGTATCCATTATCCAACATGTAACCACAGCTGAGACACTCGGCTAAAAGGCAAACAGGCTGGAATACTGTGCAAATAAAACTCTATGGAAATCGGCAGAAATGGGCGTAGCCTGAAAGATTGAAGACTTATCGAGTGCAGGACTCCAGTGCATTGCTCGATACCGCAACACTGTACTTGCAAAGAAGGAACCAAATTTAGCAAACAACCAAATGTTTTGCTAGAAAATGGAGTGGTCAGCCTGAATACAATATTCAGGCTGACCACTCCATTTTCTAGAAAAAGATTTGGTTGTTTGTAACAGCGCGCCTCAATATTGTAACAGCGCGCCTCAATACTACAAGAACAATATAAATATGAACTACCCTTTATAACCTTAGACCACTAATACATCGCATTCGTATCAAAACTTTAAAGGTCAAGAGACAATGACTACGACCAATTCATTTTCAAATCTATTTTCCCTTTAGAATGCACTTTATTGAAGTCAAACAACGGTACTCACAGGTTAAGAAAATTTCGAACTGCGGCCCAGTCTTCCGGGTAAACCAAAGTCTGCAGCCAACGCTGGTATATAACTGCCACTTTATCGTAGACGAAGTGGCTTATAGGTGGATAACTGTTATTGACCGCCAGTAAGAAAAGCCGCACGTGCTGGTCACTTGTTTCTGCTGAGTGTAAAATGAGTCGGTTGATTGCAACGACCCGATAATCTTTGTCGTCGCAACGAGGTCGTAGAAACCTCTGTTCCGGCTCTGGAAGTGCTTGTGGCTGTCCAACAGATAATACAGATAATGCGGGTTCGCGGAAAAACGTTTGAACAGTAAATTCGTGATTCACTATCAACAGCTGATCACAAACGGCCATCAGCTTTGAAAAGTTTTCGCATTCGTAATTTCCACTTCCCACTGCATTCTTTACTAGTTCCCCATTCGCATTCGCACAGTTTTTGATAATAATCATTGGTACTTTGATCCCTTTGGCAAGGAGCACTTCCAGTGTCGTGTGTGCCCGTATTTCGAATTCCCCTCTGCCACCGAAATCGGCAAGGGTAAGCGTTTTCGTGTGCTTGGTAATCATTTGGTCGAGTACCATGGTGAGACTGTAAGTGTCGCTCCAGAGGGAGTTTAGCGTATCATATATTTCGACGGCGATATCAACTAAGACGTTCCTAGTGACGAGGTGTTCCGGCAGCATTAGGTGCCACAGCATGCATACCCTGCAAAAACATAACCAGTACGCGCCTGTTTTCTACAAAACATAATTATCATCTCCAGCCTGGAAGACAGTCGTACGATATGCTTCTAACTAATTACCAAAAACAGCTTCGACTTCGACTCCGTATTTCTTGTGGTAAACGGCCGGTTTAATAAAATAATTTTAGGCTTAGTTTACTGAATAACGTCCTAGATTTCGGCGGAGCAATGAACTCCAACAGTGCGAAAGCGCAATTTTATTGAAGAATCGGTTTCCGATTTTCTGGCGCTCATGCGCATTCCGTGATTCTGCAGGGTGAGTACTGCTAAATTTTCCAAGCTTGGAAGCTTGGCAAAAACATACAGAACGAAATCTTACTACGTGGCAGTTGCTGTCAACTACGTACAAAATACGTACAGAACGCATAAATTCACAGCACGCAAGCACTGAACGTGGGTGCCCGAGGCGCACCCGGACACCTGTGGAGGGTGACATTTCGCTGCACTCATTTGAGGAATGCCTTGTATTCTCAAGACATAAAGCGCGAAACGCCGAAAGGTCACCAGTGCTAATATGCGGTTCACTTACGAGCTATGCATATTGTATCATTAAAGAAGCCCATTTTATATACACGAAAGGTGCGCAATTAATTCAGAAAATAAAATTATCAATTCGATAAAAAAAATTCAAATTTAAAAAGATTTCAATGCTTCCAATTATTATTCAACACCTCGATTATCCCAACAACAGCTAGTGCAACCGATACTTGTATACTTGTATTCGTATTTCGTACCATCTTATTACAGTCCAAAACTTTTTGCGCGGTTTTTATTAACTGGTCAACGCGTAGTCAGTTTTGGCCCAGCTAAGTCATGAGAAATTCCTAATTTTCCGTTGTGGCCCGGTCCCAGTTGACACTGTAGGTACAAAGTGGGCCAAGTCTTAAAACTTTTAAAACCTTTAAAACCTTTAAAACCTTTAAAACCTTTAAAACCTTTAAAACCTTTAAAACCTGTAAAACCTGTAAAACCTGTAAAACCTGTAAAACCTGTAAAACCTTTAAAACTTTTAAAACTTTTAAAACTTTTAAAACTTTTAAAACTTTTAAAAATAAAATTAATAATATATAGTTTTGACCGTGATTTTTCGAAAAGTGGTTTTAAGGTTTTAGCAGTTTCTAAAAATAAAATAAATAATATATAGTTTTGACAGTGATTTTTCAAAAAGCGGTTTTAAGGTTTTAGCAGTATTTAAAAATAAAACTATTAATATATAGTTTTGAAAGTGATTTTTCAAAAAGCGGTTTTAAGGTTTTAGCAGTTTTTAAAAATAAAAAATAATAATATATAGTTTTGACAGTGATTTTTAAAAAGCGGTTTTAAGATTTTAGCAGGTTTTAATAATAGAATTATTAATATAGCCTTGAAAGTGATTTTTAGCTACGTATAGGTTTTACCGTTCTAGCAATATTTACTAATATTGTAAAGAAGTCCTTACATTCTAGTGGCCGTGTCTGGCGAAGAAGCGAAAAAGCTTACTCCGCACATCTGATTCGCGTGAAATTCGATAGCAGATTTTTTATATCGATTGCAAATCATTCCCTCGAATCCTTAAATAATTCAAACCTGGTATTGAAATGGCAACTACCTAGCTAGTAGCTACGCTCACCAGTTAAACTTACAGTTAGTTGCAGCCTGCTGCATCATGAAAATATAACCACAACTAGAGTTTTTCTAGAATACTTAAATTTTAATTTCTTACGGAGTAGGCAGTTGTATTTAAACAAAATTTTCTTCTACTAATATTCGAACAATATAATTTAATTTAAATTAAGTCGGCCATTGAAATTCACTATGTGAGCAAACACAAATAATTACAACCATATTTTAGTAGTTACTTCCTTAAAGTGCTTACGATTATCACTTATCGTTTCAGATCGCAGAAATTGCTAGTATTTTCTGGGTTTCAGTATACATATACAGTAGTATGAATGCTGTACCGGAGCTAGCTTTGCCGGAACCGGCTCGTTGGCACCGGTAAATCAATTTTTTGAGAAATAAAATACAGTTAACTGCAAGAGCAGTTGATTTTAAATTTCATGAGCAACTGCTCGAAATTGGGCTGTTGTTGTTTCTTTCCACAAAATCACTAACTGACCATGAGATATCAACACTGTCCAGTGAGCAAACTGCAAGCTCGTATACTTGATGACATTAGTGAATAGATGTACGAGTACTTGCTTGGTTTTAGCCTTTAGGATAGCATTGTGTTGTCGAGTCAACTTGACACCTTTTGATACAGCGAGTTATACCTACTTATACGTTAAGCGGATAGGACTCACTGTAAAAAAGGTGCCAAGTTGACTCGACAACACAGTATGTCATTGTAAAACCTTTTCTTTTGAGACATGTTGTACGAGTAGTTCTAACTCGGACCGTTGATTAACTGGCATGCATTCAGAGTTCAGCATATTTAGAATGTTTGATAAAAAACGGGAATGCATATGGAAAACATTATTCATAAAAAACTTTTCTTTATTGCTCATTTTGTAAAATAATAAAAGAATAAGAAGGTGCACAGAAATCGTGTCTGTCTCCCTTTTCTGAGCGACACAGCAGGCGAAACTTAGGTCTCTGTATATCATTCGATAACGCAAAGTACAGCCTGTAGATGAGCCCAAAAAAGTCACTTTTGTGAAAACCAAAACCAGTTTTGAGAAAAAATTCAAAAACTTAACATGCAAAACCTACGGGAACGTCAAAAACCAGTTAACGCTTTAACTGCCACTTCGAGTGCGAGAGGCTATGCTAATGCGAACAATGCATTTGCTTAAATACTTATTTCGCTATCAGGTTCGTTAGCACACCACAATTCACAACAGCCATTACAGTTATGGCTCTGTGGTGATAGCCCTGAATCAGTAAATTTTCTAAAAAGTAATTTTCAAAAAGCAAATGAAGTTTAAAAAAGGCTATTACGAAAGACTCCACAGCGGTCCATTACGAACGGCTCAAAATTCTCAAGATAAAGTAGTCGCCTCCCAAAGTGGTTTTGGTTCTGGCAGCTTTTAATACACTCGCAGAGTTACGGTACCGTATTTTACCAATTAGGATACCGATTAGTGTCCAATTACAAGTTCAAAATTTGTGCAAGGCCTTCGGAAGGGGACGCTATTTTGTGGGGGGGGGCGGTCGGGGTTGGGATACTATAAATTTGTTTAATTTATTTGCTCCTTCAGAGCTTCAAAGCCATGGCGAAAGAGCGTACAAAGGGTAAGGGAGGCCGGGAAGGAACGGTATTGCGATTTGCAAAACACTGTAATAGTTACAATGGACGAGGAAAAGAAGTTGAAATCGACCGGCCAGTGTGCGGTCGCACCTCATCAACTTCTTTTTGTCGTCCAGTGTATGTAATTGGTCAGTGGTCAGTAGGAATTGTCGGTCAGTCATCTTGGATATTTTCTACATTTTGGTTTTTTTTATTATTAAGCGTGGGCAGTAGCGGTGGTCGTAGGTCAAAAACTGGAATCTGGAATCAGATTGTTATTACGGAGTCAAGAACAGATTTGGAGTTCAAAATGGCGGAAAATACAGTCTGTGGTAACAGTGAGCCGGGCGCGTGATGTACCGACTCATTAAAACACGGAAAATTCACAGGGATGGCGGGAAATTTTGCTCCGAGCGCGAGTGTTTAAGCGATTTGTCCCTTCTGCTTTTCAAAAAATTTAAAAGGAAAGGGTTGACCTAATTATTATGTTACTACAATTGTCATGAAAATTGTTGTTGCTTTTAAAGCTTTTTATGAAAATCATCTATGAAATTTAAAATTCCATTTAGAATTTGTACCAGTAACCTTTGCAGAAATTAAGCGACTTAATTTTGTTATAAATTCCAACGCTTTGATCCGACATCCAAAAATTTGACGTGAGAAGCACGCCAATTTTGATTATATTTTTTGAATATTTTTTTTATATATGATTCCCTAACAAAAACAAAATAAAACACGGGAAGTTGGACAATGCCAGCTCTCCGCAGTGATTGTGGTACATATAAAAGGTACTGTAACGGGACGCCTGCGCCAATCAGGAAAATGCTGCCGGAAATCAGGAGCGGCAGACGTGGATCTTTGAATTTATTTATTTAATATTTATTTACTGTCTGTAGCTAGAACTACGAGGTACACATGGAAACGGCAACTTTCAAATTTCTACGCTTACGTTATTCCGTAATCTGAGCCAACGAATCTACGAGACTTTAAGCCATTAAAACATTCACCAGTGGAAATAAAATAAATTGTACTAAGTTTCGCTCATTAAAATTACATTTGTAATCGTTATTTTATAGTTTTGAGTTTAGTGATGAAAAGGTAGTAATCCTTCGCGGACTTATTCCGCGCAATTTGCGCGGGGTCTGCTAGTTTTGTAAAATAAAAACTAAAAACTGCGGAAAGCAGATGCGAAGCCATACTTTTGATGAAATGCACTCCAACAACTTTTTGAAAAGGTATCGGAGCAAAATCAAACAACCAATACACACACGCTACGAGAATACTTCTATAGAATATTTTACCTTATGGTTAGAAACGAACCTTCAAATATTGCACAAATCTGCCGACAACGAAAGCCGGGAGCTGTGTGCTGACTTGTGAGCCGAACTGATTTTCCGCATTAATGTCAAAAACAACAAGTATATATATTAAAAGTCTCATTATTAAAAATTGTTAGAACCTCAAAATCTCTTCTCGAAATACCCAGTCATGTTATGCATTTATTATTAGAAACTGTTTAAACCTTTAAACCAATGTCTAAAAGATATCTGTCAAAAGCGAATATCATTAATTTTTTATTAAAACTGTTAAAACCTCAAAACCATTTCTGAAAAATCACTGTCAAAACTCTATATTCTTAATTTTGTTATTAAAAACTGTTAAAACCTTAAAACCTCATTTCAATAAAAACACTCTCAAAACCATATATTATAAAAAATTGTTAAAACCTTGAAACCGCTTTTTCAAAAATCACTGTCAAAACTATATATTATTTATTTTTAAAAACTGCTAGAACCTTAAAACCACTTTTCGACAAATCACTGTCAAAACTATATATTAATAGTTTTATTTTTAAAAACTGCTAAAACCTTAAAACCGCTTTTTCAAAAATCACTATCAAAACTATTTATTAATAGTTTTATTTTTAAAAACTGCTAAAACCCTAAAACCGCGTTTTGAAAAATCACTGTCGAAACTATATATTATTAATTTTATTTTTAAAAACTGCTAAAACCTTAAAACCACTTTTCGACAAATCACTGTCAAAACTATATATTATTTATTTTTAAAAACTGCTAAAACCTTAAAACCGCGTTTTGAAAAATCACTGTCAAAACTATATATTATTAATTTTGTTTTTAAAAGTTTTAAAACTTGGCCCACTTTGTACCTACCCTCGACTCGGAGCGCCACCATGCAACACAGGTAATTGCCTACACACGGCGAAAGGGGAAAAACCAGAGTACACATCTTCCAGCTGACATTAACATCAATTAACATTGTTAATTGTAACTTAACCATCCAATTATACGGTACATAGTACTACATATGTACACTACATGTACATACGTATACATATAAAACGGCGGCGTACCATGGAGGTAAGTTCATTTAACCTCTTACTGTATATAGGAGATTTTGCTGTACTTGCAAGAAAGCAGATCCTGAAAGGCATAAATGTTGTTGACCAACCTGTGGATCCTTCCTTGGACACGTGCATGTAAATGAAGGAAAACAGCAACCAAAATGGGATGAGGAAGGTCGGCAATTCCGAAGCCATCAGTATTGTAATCTGTGAACGTTCCTGGTTAGTGAATCTTGTGAACTATTGAACATGATATCACTAGCGTGGTAAAAATCTATAGTAGCTTATTCTATACTACGCATGGCCTTCTCATAGTTCTGACATCTCGCGGTCCAAAAACATTTCACAGGAATTGGCACTACCATTCCACAGGCCGTGGCCAGAACAGGCTCGAATGATTTTTGTTTTGCAATTCGCCCTATCGGAATCGTGCCGGTAGAGCCGTAGAGGTGCAGCATTGCGAACAAAATTATTTCTAAGAATTATTTGGCAAAACGCACCCGTGTGCATACTGGGACGGCCCGGACAAAAGCTAAAACCTGGAAAATGCCATCTTTTGTAGGGACAGATCACTGGAGTTGCTGGCGATAAACTATTTCCATATCACGGCATAATGATGCAATGATGATTACGGGCATCTAAGCAGAATTTATCGCTGGCCGATTACTAGTGGACAGATTTTAATATGACTTTCAGTTGATTGTAGCTTCCTGTACGTGTTAGCATAATCGAAATACAAGTGCGTACGTACAAGTGCAAAATCTGCCAGTTATATGCGGCACTAAACTTATGCTTATGCCGTCGATAGTGGGTGGGGGTGTGCCCGTATTAAACATATATGGGTGGGTATGTGTTAACACAGGACCGTCCTCGGAAATACAGAAAAATGGGTATTCCTTCAAGAAATATTCCTTCATTCGTTTTGTGCTCCTAGAGCACGGTCCTAGTTAATACCATGCATTTTGCCTGTACCTTTCTTCCATTATCTAAAAGTTGGCCAATCCACAACACATACTCGCGATCGTATCTGTTTTATACAGAAATCTTAGCTTTAGTTTTTATATGTTTTTATATAGCTTTGGCATATAGCCTTAGTCTTTTTGGGAGTTTTTGTTGGATTATTCTTGAGCGTCAATAAAAGATTCGAAACTGCATATTAGTTTGCGGTTTTCTGCGAACTGCGTGGTATTTATATGAGTAATCATAGTAGTATCAATTTTTTGTACCGCAACCGTAAAGTGGGATACTGAGTCAAATTTAAAATGCCATCAAATGACTGCAGATCTTCTAAAAGGTAAAAACTAATGGAACATGCCATATTCAAAATTCTGTAGTATGTAATGTTACCGTGGCAGCTGTAGGTCGAAGTTGCCATTTCGGGTCTTGCCGGAGGTTGAGTGGCTAGAAGGCTTTCACAAGCGACCTTTAGGGTATCTTCACTAGAAGTAGAAGAGCAAATAATATCCTTGCCACCTTTGCGTTGCATCCCACGGTAATTACAAAGGCGGCAAAATCCACTCCGAACTGTACAAAATATCTAATTCCGAAATCAGCCCAACGCAACAGCGTATTCGAAGGACGGGCGCACTACGAAGGCATGCCGACATTTCGTCCAGGTTTTTTATCAAATAAGCTTGCTCGAAAGGTATGACGTATTTCTTGTAACAAAACGTTGCATTTCGATAAAAACACACCCCGTCCGCTGGCGGCAACTCAGCGACAATTTGGGACTCGTGGACAAATTTGCAGTTGGTGAAATTATCGTCGGCTAAGGGATCATCCGGCCACTTTACATTCCAGCATATAGAGTGTTTTTGCAGGGGCTTAAAGGCAATTCTGCCTGGCCGAAATATTAGCGGCCCAGTGGGTTCGCTGCGCACCGCCACTTGCACGCGCTGACCCACATAAACCGACCTGCCTCCTTCGAAATAATCGTGTGGCCAAATATGGCGAGTATGGATCCATGAAGCGCCGGCTGTGCTGCTATCGAAGTTAATAAAGAACAGATCTCCATTAATGTCTTGAACGTATCCCAGCCACCATTCGCCGCTGTCTCTTTTAACCAATACTGTATTGCCGTAATTGGAACATCGAGCTTCCAAGCCAAAATGACGAAAAAATAACGGCGTTCCATAAACAAATAACATTATGAGAGAAAAGAGCAAATTACAGCCGAACGACTCACCAATTTGTTCTTGTTCAAACAGTCCTGAAAGATCATCCGTTGATGGTAAACGAAGGCGAATTATGTCTGACAAGTTTCAGGACCATGTCAATATTGGTCAGATTTTGTAGAGAACGCGGATCTGAATCATCTGATGAATATGATGATAACTATGTTTGAGATAACATTATGTGAGTCAGTGGGTCTAATGAATAGGAGTTTTCGAAATGACCCGCATCGGAGCAGAAATTCGACAGGTTTCTACAGTATTTCTTTGTGTTCGCTGTCTACTTACTTCTTGAGCGTTCTAGAACGTCTCGGTAGCAAGCTTGGCCTAATGCGAGCTGCTTGCCTTCAGCACAGTCGGTAAAAGCTAAACCTTCAGTATGTCGATGGAATTGTTATATACTTCAATGTACAGTTCCACAATCTGCTTCTTACAAAGATGTTGGATGCCCTTATTACCTTCAGAATTTCGAATAGCTGATGCACGCATCCCAGTACTGCCACTATTGCCACGGTAGTCTGTATCGTGCTGACACGTTATTGTGGGTTATCACTCTGATGCTATATTGTGAGCGTTACCAGTGAACTTTTCCAACCCACTAGGGAATCCATTGTGACCTTTTTGTTGGTTTAGTTGTTTGCTAACATAACTTAATGTTACGTAATATCTTCTCATGGTCGTCAGAGCAAAATATGCCCGTGTTGCAATTGGTATCTCTGGGCTGCATAGTGCCACCACTCATCTGCAGTCGGTTATACAATACTGTTGTCAGCATTCTCAAAAGTTTTACACACAAAATTAATCAATGTCATATGTGTACAATATTTTATTCGCTGATTTATACTCACTTGTATATGCAAGCTGTAGCTTATAATAAAAAATTCACACTCTCAATGTTTCCAAATATACAATTAACCAACCATCGGCAACGCCGACTTGTTCATGGCAACATTCTTGTTCATGGTGTGTCGACGACTGGACTCGGATAGCCACCATACCACAGCTTTACCGGTAATCACAAAAAATATACAAAACTGCAACCGACAGATGAGAGAGGAACAGCGTCACTGCGTCAGCAACCCGAACAGCCGGCTAAAGTAATCCCGGAAGTTCCAGTGGTTCCAACTACTACGTAGCCAGGCGCTGCGTATGAATTAAGCGCTTCTTTGTTTATGTCTGTCATTAATGTCAATACAGATATTGACATATGTACCAGACAAAATACAACAACAAAACACATGCACCAACAGACAAAATACTTTAGCCACCTGATTAATAACTGCAAGCGTATATAATTATATTAAATATTACATACTACGCTTATGACCAATGAGCAACCGACAGCTAACCTTACGGGTTTGTGCTTGTACATGTGCTTCTGGAAGCATAAAAAACATAATTTAATAGCACATCAAAAATGCAGATCTGCATTTTTGATGTGATATTAAGTTACAACTTATAAAAATGAAAATTGTAATAAAATTATTATAAAATAAATATAAAATCCACAACCAATACAGATTTTTGAATTTCTGTACATAAAAAGTCACAATTATTCAGTTTTCATATGGGCTTCCGGTATGTGAGGCGTTCTTATAAACCTTAATACCTACATATATACGAGTATAGCTAATGAATGCATGAATGCATTTGTACGAACTCGAAGCAACGCTGTCTTGAAGGCAATTTAAAAAAATTACAGAGTAAAGGGCGAAAACGGAGTAAAATTAAGAGTTACAGAGTTAAGAGTAAAAGCAGTTTGAACTATTAAATCTTGTTCTTGTGTCATCTTGTCGTATGCGTAAGGGAGCTCACATCATCGAAGCAAAATCATCAAAATTATTTGGTTCGTTATTAAAGTTAAACTGGCCTCCTACAGGTTGATAACTGTTCAGCATCGCTAAACCGTAATGATGCGGCGCATTGCCCATGGGTTACACCACAGTGTAGAATTTACTTTTTAATTGTTTCCACCATGCCCATTGACCATACCATATGAAAATAATTGTTTTGCTTATTCCAATGTTCCTTTGTCTTTCCGCAGAAGATCAATTTTCAGAGCCGGCGACATAGCCGGCCGGCGATATATAGCCGGCGACGGGGCTGTGCTCAGTTAGGATATACGTACGGCAATCGCGTTAGCGCTTTTATGTTTTTATTGAAATTCAGTGCAGTTTTGTCAAATTCTTGGTGCATTAATATTGTACCACACCGGTTATGAGAAGAGTGCTTTCGCAAAACACCTGTACTTGAACAATACGATAAAGATTTGCAGATAACACATATTATTATTATTTGTAGTAACTAATTTATGATGCAGTTACCATCAGCCACCAGAATTGTCCCTGCTAGTATTTTCATGACTCTACTGGAGTACTAATACGTAGTAGTTTTTAATAAAAGCGGCGGTATTTATCTCTACTGTGGAGATGAAAGGTTAATATGCAGCTGCTTACGCCTCTCTCGAATGTATTCTGTGAAAATCTTTTCATTTTATGCACTAATCGTTGTATACTTTACAGCATTTTAATTGTAATTGTTGGAGCAGTTGCTGACTTGCTACGGAAATCGATATAATTGTTTGTTTACTCTGGTATCAGCTTAGATTTGATGTCGTCATTAACCACTAAAATCACATGCTTGATCATTCAATAAAATACTGGCATATCTTCATCAGGTTGGCCTTTATTTTTGTGGCATACGTAATTACGCAGACATCTGATTAAAGGCGAATTTGGTACCATGTACCGGGTCACTTCGCTTAAATTTAATGAGAACATAATTTGTCCGCGACTTAACGCTTAATAATACGCTTAAATGTAATGAGAACATAATTTAATGAGAACATCATTATTATTAAATAAATTACGAATAATTTTCGCTTACGTCTGGCATTTGCCCGTTAATCGTTTAGTGGTTTTGTTTGTACAACTTTTTCGTCCATTCTTGTCAAAATTTGTATTCCATTTTGTCGTGCGGAAATTTGCACAGTGATGTAATTTCTTTCTATTTTAATGCATGAGAACAGAATATTTTTTTGCTACTCTTAATAAGCTGCATGGAGTTTGACTTGCGAGTGGCGGTACAGTAATTCTGCACACTGGATCTTACAGGTTCGGTTCCCTTGCTGGGCATCGATGTATGGGAGCATGCCTATTATCTACAGTACAAGAATGTTCGCGCTGACTATGTCAAAGAGATCTGGAAGATTGTCAACTGGAAGGATGTTGCTGAGCGGTTCAGACAGGCCGCCGCTGGCAAATAATTCTGTCATTGTGTTGCATTTTCAGCGTTTGTTTGAAGTGGTTTGGACCGCTCGGTCGACACTACTGTAGCTTACGAGTTAGTAAAATACGTACATAGAGTAGTATTTTCTGTTCCACATTTTGAATGCATGAAAAGATGTTTGGCACTTAGCCACTTACTAAATAGCGCTGCACCTTTTTTAGGGAGAATACCTCGATTTT